TTGTACATTTGTGACCCTTCTGCTCCGGCTGAAGTGGGAAGACTTGCTGCATAGAACTCCCTTCTGCCTACACAGGAGCATTCGCAAACTGAGGACTTGTGAGACGACTGGATCAGATTAGCACAACTGCAATGGCGAGGGTTTGCAAGGTACACGCCACACCTCTCTGCCCACAGAGATCTGCCGAGCTATCCTGTGCTTGTTCTGGCTTTTAGAAGTCTGGCAATTTTCTACACAGACTGGCTGGCATTCAGGTTTCATCATACTTGGAGAAATCAGTGGGGTGGCCTTTTATATGGCCTTACTGGACACAAAGAGTGCTCATCAGTGGCACCTTCTCAAACACTGGGCTGAAAGCAACAGAATGAGATTCAGTAGGGACAAGTGCCAACTCTTCCACCTAAGAAGAAGAAACCAAATGCATCAGTACATGATGGGGAATACATGGCTCAACAGAGTTGAAAAAGAAAAAGACCTCAGAGTTATTGTGGGCGATAAGCTAAATAGAAGCCGACCATGCAGTGCAGCCACCAAAAGCGCAAATGCGATTTTGGGATGTATCAATAGAAGTATTACTTCCAAATCACAAGAAGTAGTAGTTCCCTCGTACTCCTCACTAGTCAGACCTCACCTGGAATACTGTGTCCAGTTCTGGGCACCAAGATTTAAGAAAGATGCAGGTAAATCAGAAAGGGGCCAGCAGAGGGCAACAAAAATGATCCAGTGTTTGGAAACAATGCTCAATGAGGAGAGATTGGGAGAACTGGGTATGCTCAGCCTTAAGAAGACCGAGCAGGGACATGATATTACCCTATAAGTACCAAGGAGAAAGGTCAAGATGCTAGATTGTAGGACATGGAATAATCAGCCCAAGTTGTGACAAACCAAATTCAGGCTAGATGTCAAAAAAGTTTCCTTACTGTCAGCAATGCAACAGCGGAGCCAGCTGCCTGGAGAGGTGGTGGGCTCTCCCACACTAGAGACATTCAGAAAGGACCTGGGATGGTGTAAGTTGGTGACCTGCAGCAGAAGGGGTTGGGACCAGTGGCCTTCATGTCCGCCTCCAGTCCTGCTCTTCTATGATATCAATGGGTCTTTGCTAAATCTGACTTAAACTGGATTCATCCCCAGGCATATCTCACAAAGCTTTTGAGGGGGAAAGTTTATTTGGCAAGTATCTTTGTTCTCCTTTTTCTGGATTTATGGTTCACTGGTGCTTTTAATAATCTGTTCTGAGTGGGTTTAATTCAGCCTTCTGCAAATAAATATTTTAGACTACATCTCCCTGGCGCAGGCTGATTCAATGGGTATATATCCATCTCCTCCTCCGCCACCACCATCATTTCAGGGTCAAATGCGTGCATTCTGCACAGGTCTTTGCAACTGGAGATCAGTCTGGAACAGCCTTGGCTAACGTGGTGCCCTCCAGTGATTTTGGATTTCAGCTGTCATCAGCCTCAGCCATCATGTCATCCAACACATCAGAAGGGCATCATTTTGGGGAGGGTCAGTCTAGAATCCGCAGCTGTACATGTGGCAAGCTAGGCTGGCTGCCTCGAAGAAAACTAGACCCAAGCAAATAATCTGCAGCTAGAAAGGAGCAATAGGGTCCCTCATGTCACAAATTCTAAGTGTCTCCAATGAAATCTAGTAAGTATTATGACCCAAGGCTGATGAAGTTCACTGCTGTTTGTCAGTGTTGTCACATGCCTGACGAAGATAAAGCAGATCATGTTTCCTTCATAGCTAGACCAGGGAAGGTGATAAAATAAGGAAGGGTTCTGTGGCATCTTGAAAATCTACGAGCCCAGTAGCAGTCTGAGCGTTGGACTCTAGTCCAGGAAAGCTTTCGCTCCAATAAATCTGTTTAGGTGTAGTCCATGCACACTTACCTAGGAGTAAGCCCCACACTGACCTCAGTGGAGCCGTACAGCTGAGTAGGCATGTGCAGGATCACACTTTGCACTGCTTTTTGATCTGACCGGGGATTACCGCGAAAGGAGTCAAAGAGACGACCTCTAGATAAACAGTGCCAGCCTTTCTGTATGCACCAAACGGCTCCAGCTATGGCGATAATTTTCCTCCTCCTCCTCGAGGTTCTCCCTGTTCCCAACCACTCCATGCTGTTCTATAAAAGCAAATAAAATGAATGAAAGAGAAACTGCTCTGGGGAAAAATGGATGGTACCTGGGAATGGCACAAGGCTGCCCTTATAGGATGGCCATGTCCCTTACTTTAGAGAAGGCAGTTCTCTGATTGAAGGCCTGTCAGAGGACAGTTATTATAATATTATAATGAGTAACAACAACATTTTTATTTTGAGTTTCTAAAATCAAATTAAAACCAAAAATATGCAATAAAATAAAGTATTTCAGTTTGTTTGGCTGACTGGAATGGAGAGGCGACTAAATTTTTACTTCGGATCAGCTTATAGTACCCAATGATATCTGATGGTTTCAGGGGGCTCTTTGTTATTGGAAGTATTGATTTAGGTTGAACAGTAATACTGTTCCAGAATCCACATCTTTACATATCTAATATAGGGAATAAATAAGATGCACAGGCAAGAATGAAATAATGCAAGAATGGAATAATGAATTGAAATAGCCTATTTTGCCCAATCAATGTATCGCTTCATTGGCATCCATCTCAGAAGAAGTAATGGACCTCAGGCTATGTTTAATTCAGCAAAAAAGCAATGTTCAGATGCTACAGTGTCTTTTTAATAAGGGCTTATTTAAATTGGTCAATTGTTCAAGGTATAATACAGCTAATGTTTCTTTCACATGTTTTGCCAATGCCCAATACTTGCTTTTGGAAGGAGGTAATAATATGGATAAACAGTGATGCACAAATATTATGGACATACATGTTCTTCTCAACTATCCAACTGCTTCCTGGAACGTAACATAAAGTCAACATAAATATATCCTCTGCCCTGATTTCACAGCCAGAAATCTAATATTACAGCAGCAAAAGGACAAATGGCCATCTTCAATAACATACTGGGTTGAGGACATGATGCTTTCAATTTCTGAACAGGAATCATTATGAATAATCATCATTCATAGTTTATGAATGGATAAGTACAATGAAACTGGACTACCATCTTTGCAGTCTAAGCACAACTGTCCCTAAGAACAGTAGTGTATTTTGTTCTAATTAAAATGCTAAATGCTGTTTTTGCTCCACATAAATACACACACACACGCATGCACATTGTAATACTTTCAAATTTCATGGAAGGACAGTCCTCTGCTTGAAGCATCTTGTGTTTGATGGGTTCTCCAAGTTTGGTTTGCAGATAAAGAACCATCAGAAGGGACGGATGTGGTGGTTGTGAAGCTGGCCATCAACAGCACCAGGCTTGGGATGAACCCTTTCAGAATCCAGAATCTGCAGACTTCCTCTTTTGCTCAGCCTGGTCCTGCAAAGCAAGCTGAACGAAGAGGAAGTCTGCAAATGATCATGGGCTCCTGGCTGTGCAACTGGCAACCTTTTTCCGGCGGCCATTCCTGGTGGCCAACCTTCTGTGTCACTCACCGATGCTGCTGGTGCATGCAGAAAAGGGGTGCAGCAAGTGGGAAAGAAGGCTGGCCACTGCTGGCCATAGCAGTGAGCATGGAAGAGTGGCCCTGCTTCTGCAGCATGTGGGGCTCGATTCCTGATGAGCGCCCCAGGAACCCCCAGTGCTCTGACCAGGAACTCAGACCCTGGGCTGCTGCACAGTTCCCCGGTTTGGGAAGCCAAAACTGGGGAATTCAGTGGATTTTCCACACAAACGGATTCCTCACACATCCCTTGTTAGCAGCTGAACAACAGCCTGAGTAGCAAGCACACGGCTCACCTGGTTGTTTCCTTCCCCACCATGGTGCAGTGCATTTTATTTCTATGTGCATTAAAGCAAGTGTTTCAAAATCCACCCTAGATTTAATAAAGCAGCACATGCAGGAACATACATTAGGTATGTGAGAGGGTGTCACACGGAGGTGGGTAGAGACCTGTTCTCCCCTGCAGAGGAAGGCAGGAGGCGCTCCAACGGAGCCAGGTTCAAGGAACCAAGGTTCCATTTGGATGCCAGGAAGCACTTCCTGACAGTCAGGACCCCGAGCGTGTGGAATGGGCTTCCACGAGAGGTGGTTGAGGCCCCATCGGTGCGGGTGTTCAAAGATAGGCTGGATGTCCACATGGTGGGCATGTTGTGAGAGGAGCCGGCTGGAGCCAGGGGTCAGACTAGATGGCCCGGGAGGCCCCTTCTGACTCGCTCTGTTTCTATGCTTCTACGCACTCGTATGGAAAGCTGTATCTCCTTTGTCACTTCTGGTCCCTTCTTGTGTGTGACACTTCCTGGAGCTGGAGGGCTTGACAGTTCAGTGACGCACGTGGCCACCAGGTTCCCCTGCTGTGCAGCATGGCGAAGGGACCTCCCTGATGGTGGGAGGGGGAACGGATGAAGGCATTAACAGAGGTCCGAGTGGCACACAAGACTTTCCAACATGCAGAATGTGTGTGGAGGGAAGCTGAGGGAAAGAATGTCTTTTGGGCTTCGCTTCTTAGGCCAGCTTAACTTGGGGGTGGGCATGGGGTGCAATCTGTTATCTTTGGGAGATCAAGGCTTGAGGCAGGAAAGAAAATGGTTTCCTCTCTTCGAGGTTTTCCCAAACTGGAGGTGCTTTTCCCTGCTCCATTCAGTTCTGCAGAAGTGATGGAGTGAGAATCTGTGATCAGGCAGGGAGGAGTAGAGCTAAAACGTGGGCATCTCAGGATTTCCTGGTTAGCCTTGGAATTCTGTCACACCAGCTTCCCATTTATGTCACCTCCTGAGCCGAGCTGGGTGGCCCTAGGAGCAAACAAAAGAGCCCTAAATATTGGGCAACATCCATGGTTCATGAGTTATGCTTGAACCGAAGTATCTGAACTTTGTGCTCCCTGATTGTGGTGATCTCATCCTGTTACCACAGCAGTGTTTAAAGTCCATCTCAAGAGAGGCGTCTGTCCTGCACTCAAAACTGCTGACTTCTTGTTACCCCCTTGCATTCTCCCCGTGCAGCTCCTTACACTGACTTTCCATTCCTGGTGTTTGTGTTGGGTCTGACTTTGGGATGAAGTTAATCATCAGCACACTGATCTGGTGCTTGTCTCTGACTGTGGGGAAAGGTGCCGAAGAGGCAGCACAGGAGAACAGTGTGCATCCGACAGCACTTCCAGAGGAAAGCTCTTTCTATGACTGGGGGCTTGGGACTGTCCGAGACAGCTTCGAAGCAGTTAACGCATATTTTGACTTCGTCTCGGAGCTGCTAGGAGGGAAGAACGGAGTCTGTCAATACCGATGTAGATACGGTAAGCTCCTCTTCTTTCATTCACAGTCAGAGTTGGCCCGAATCCACAGGAATTTTTCCCTTTCAGCCCAAAAGAGGCTTCTGGGGGGAGAGGGGATTACAGAAATTGCCAATAAGACAGCCCCTGCCCTCAGGTTGACAATCTAAAAGACTTGTCGCACAGGGGAAAGGATTACCATAGAGAAGCAAGAAACACAGCTCAGGTACCAGTTCCCTGTTTCAGGTGTTCTTTCTGGCAGGGAAGAGCAGGCGGATCTTGCAATTGCTCCTCCTGTGACCAAGGTACAGGGCCAGGCTGAGCAATTCCTTGCTGTGACATTATTCCTGGGAGGCAGGGGCTGCAGCCCCCCAAGGACCCTTGATTTTTTTTTTTTTTTTTTTTGCCCTGTGGCAAATTCAAAATATTGCCTTGATTTGCTTGTATACTAACTGAATTAATACACTATTGTGATACATACTAGTCCATCTGGGCCACATAATCCCCTCAGGCTCTGAAATGATCATAGTTTCTAATCCCCATTTCACCTACAAGAACAGATAAATGGGCTATTCCTGTTGCAATCCACCCTCTTTGCACAGACAATCTTTTGATCTGTTGAGCACAAAAAGAATAGCGGGTCAGTCTGATCTTTTAGTTCAGGAGTAAACAAACCAGGCACACTCCAGATATTCTGAAATGCAACGCTGCTGCCCCAGCAGCATGGCCAATAGCCAGGGATTGTGGTAGTTGCACTCCAAAATTATTTATTTATTTATTTATTTAGTAAAACTTTTCTATGCCGCCCTATTTGCCGAAGCCTCGGGGCGGCTCACAACATAAAATAAAATACAAAAATAACAATATAAAAATAACAATATAAAATAAATAACAATATAAAAGAAGTCGCCCTGGCCAGATAAATAAGCAAATACTGTTAACAATTAAAATGACGCTTAAATAAAAAGGTCTTCGCCTCGGTAGCCTTCCTTTCCTTTAGTCAAATAGATGGGTGTGGTGGTGTGGAAACTTGTGTAATACAGAGAGGGTCCCATCCTTCCGACAAGCTACTACACTGCATTCGAGCATCTCCCCCAAAAGTGCAGAGGGCAGGTGGCAGCTGTCTGCCCAAGACAGTTACCTTGTTGAAGCAGATGTCCCAGGGATGTTGGCAGTCCTGCATCCAAGCGGCTGCCGGGTTTGCCTTTATGGTTGAGCCAGTCCTGGCCCCTTATAAATCGCAAGCGCCTAGCCGACAAGGTCAGCATCGCATGGTGATCTGAGTGCAGGACTAGGGAGACCTGAGTTGTGGTCCTCACTTGGCCATGAAGGTCACTGGGTGACTTCCGGCCAGTCACTGACTCTCGGCCTAACCTACCATGCAGTGGAGAGGAGGTCTCCACTTTGTGCTCCTCAGAGGAAAAGGTGGGCTGTGATAATAATAATTCAATTAATAAGAATTGATTGCAACATCCAAACTTGACTGCTCTAGTCCGGTCCATTAGTTCATCCCTCCTTCATCTCAAGACAGCATAGCTAACACACCTGGAGGGTACCAGGTTGGGAAAGGGGGCAATCTGTGCCATTCTCAGCATCCTTCTCTATCGGCCATGCTGGCTGCCATGGGGGGAGCTGGAGGGCCACAAGCTGCCCACTCCTGACTTACATTCAGGTTTCGGGTTGGAACCCACTGGCACCAACCAGTCCAGTGCTTCTCTGCTGCAAGCCACGTGGGCTGCTAGACCTGGAGCCTTGAACATGCCAGGGATCAAGAGACTGGGGAGGCCAACCCTGATTCCTTCTTTAGGAAAAGAGGGACCAAATCCCATGCATTTCACTCCCCCCACCCCCCAAATGACAAGCAGCCAGAGCTGGCAGCGCTCATCTTCTTGATGAGTGAGTTTGATGCACACAGCTAGCAAGGGCAGGGATCCCGCTTTACAGAGGACAGTCCTCAGAGGAGGGTCCTCTATTTAAGGGCATATGATTTGATTACCTCCCAAGGCCAAGTGTGGAACCACAAGGAGGGCGAGCAGGAGGGACCTTGAAGGGGCCCGCCAAGAGCAGGTGGGCAACAGGATGAGCAAGGCACTGAGGTCATCCGGTTACAGCCTCTCTGTGGTGAATTGCATTGTCTTTGTATTTAAGTTCTAATAATTACTTCAAAATGTGTACCTATGGATATGCATTAGCCCACGTAAATGTGGCATAAATTGGTATCACGCTTCACCCTCTTTTTTGAGCCATGCATTTCCCCCTTTTTGGGTGATACACAATTGTGTTCATAGCTAGACAGGGGATCATCAGACGTGGGGGTGCTTTCTGTTCTGGGGCAGGGAAGGAGGGGAAACACAGCATCCCTTTTGAGGAAAAATGTCTTGTGTTTGCTCTCTCAGGTTTTGCTGAAAAGACTAAAGTCTGCTTTTACAATGCCTCATGTCCTGCATTAGCCTATCGGCACTGAAGGAGTTCATAGGAGCTTTTGTTTACCCCCTTCTTATCTGGTCTTATCTTGCCAAGTGTCAGTGTCAAACCTGGACTGAGTGCTGTGTAATGTGGGGGGCACTCGGCGCCTCTTCCACCAATGGTCACCATGAAGGGGTGGGATTCTGATGCCAGCAAAAGGAGGGAAGAATTCACCCTATTATGTCGCAGGTGAGGCCGTCTTGCTCCTTTTATGGCCTTGGGACACCGACAGTCACTTTGGCACCCAGAAGGCTCGAACAGTGAAGGTTTCTCTTGCTGTCTGGACTGCAGCATCTCCAGCCACTTCTCTGCCTTTTTCAGAGGGGCAAACAGAGGATTGCTACAGACTGACATTTGCCCAAGGCCAGTGTACTGCACTGTGCTTATAGCCACAGGCCAGACTGGTCAGCTGCTTTATCTTGCCAGGTGGCCAGGAAACCTACCCAAGCTCTGCACTGGATGGAAAATCCAGGGAAGTCAGGGAGCGATAAGAGCCTCTTCCTTCCTCGCGGGGCAATACGGACAAGCTGTTTGCCAAGAGGCTACCCACCACACTCTGCTTGTAGGAGGGAAAGGGCTTGCTGGGCCACCAGATGAGCCTACCAGCTGCCAAGGCTGAGGGTCTTTTTAGGCTGGGTGAGGCCCAGGTAGCTGTCAGTGTCCAAATGTGTCGCTCAAAGCTCCATCACCGAGGAATCTCAGCAGCAAGGCAGGTGGGATGCAACGTTTCCCTGTGCAGAGTACATTCTGAAGGACATACTCCTTATGTAGGTGAGGAGAAGCATCGGCCCAGTGGGATGTCCACCCTTGGGAGGTTCTAGGCAGGAACTCCAGTCTCATTAGCACAGCTGATCCCCAGGGTCTGCATCCACATTTAAGTAGGATCAACTTTGCTGGTTGAAGTGGACCTCCCTACCTTTGCCCTGTCAAGAGCACAGCCTTCCTCCTTCTGCAGATGTGACAGAGAATGAGGAGACCCGGGTCAACAGGGTGAATCCCCCACTCATTCTCTGTGAAAATCTCAAAAAATCAGGCTAAGGAACTTTCGAGCAGTGGGGCACTTCCTTGCATAGAAGAACATTTCCTCCTTGAAAAGCAGAGCCACCAGAACGCATGTGAAATACTAGTGGTGCGGCTAGAGGCCCTCCCTTTGCTTTGAAGCTATCTGAGCTGATGGCACGAATGTCTGTTAACTTAAAGGAAGTGGGAAGGGTGGGCATATCGGCAGCTTAAAGTCTCTGGGGGCACCGCATTGGCTACCTTTGTACTATAGCCTGTCCTCTAAGGTTATCCCCCTTCTCATTAAAAAATAACCTTTGCTCATTGTTGCCAGCCTCCACTTGACCTGTTTTTGAAATCTCCCTTTACAAAAGACCAGGGCTTTTTTTTGTCATCGAATGCACCGGAACAGCATTCCAGCACCTTTTTTCCAATGGATTTTACGAAGTGATTTTGAATCGTAGCAAATCAGCAGCAAACATCATTAACATAGTGCCTACAGGCTGCTTTTGTGTCTGCTATCTGATAGTGAGATAGTGAGGGCCCCTCGGCTTGGGATTGGTGTGTGTGGTTGCACACTCATTACTGCCGGCGGGACGTGAGTTCCGGCACATTTTTTTTTTTTTTACAAAAAAAGCACTGCAAAAGACCACCCAAAACCTGTGGTAAAGGGATTTAATTAAAGAAGAAAAAGCTACAGTGTAACTTCAGTAGTGCTATGCTAAATCGTAATTTCAGTACCTGATCATCACATTCCAGGACAAATAATATCAGCTGCTTTTCTCACGTTGTGCAAATGCTCATAAAAGTATATTTTGCTGACATGAAGGCAATTGCCATGCCATCTTGAATCAACAGGCAATGACAAACCCTATTTCTATTTGCAGCTGGTATTTCTCCTCTCACTTGGTCCTTTGCAAAAGCCTGGCTGTATTGCAGAGGCCAAGCAAAAAAAATAAACATTCTTGGAATGGCGTGGCTGTCAAATATTATGTGCCCTTTCTGTAAATGTGTTGCATTTTATCACTGTAGATAAACAAATGCAGTGCACATAGCAGGTTTTTTGCCCTCCTTGAATCTGCAATGTGCATGACCTGAAATGTTAAATATGGCCAGGAAACAGGAAAGGCATAGCATTTGAGTCCGGGGATGGAATGTTTGACAGCGCCTTAGACAAGGCATGAAATGAAATGCACCTGATAGCTGACTGTTGACACCTTATAAAAGATCACCTGCTACAGCTGGAATAATAAAGTTGGCATCTGAAACAGTTGAATTTGGAAGGGGAAAAGTCATTTTCTAAATAGATATTTCAATTTCATATGTGAAACAATGTACCCAAAACCGGTGGAGGGCAACATTGACTATTTGGGCAGGTTGTAATTCCACATTTTTGCAAAAGGTGGTTGTGGTTCCAGTGAAGAATAATCCACTATGGCCTGAAGCAGGTGGAGAACATGTGGCCAGAAGCTACATGTGGCCCTCCAGCCTGTTTTGCAGCCCCCGCTCCACCCGCCCAGCTGCTGCTGCCACACTGCCAACGCTTGATGGCACAATGGCATCCACTTCCCAACGACATACACAGTTTGGAGGAGGGGCTGAGGAGCCAGTGGGGGAGAACCTACACAGTGTGCCAGAAGCACAGGAGAACAAAGCCAAACGGTTGGTTGGACGGGATTAAGGTAACAGGAAGCAGAAAGAACCTTCAGGGCAGGTAAAGGAATAGCATAGCTAAAGGGAAGACCTTTTAGGACAGAGATAATAGCATTTCTGCGGCATAAGTGGGAAACAAGATTTGCAACGTGGATTCCGGATCAGATCAGGAACGCAATCTTAAGTCTAAAGCTACTCTGGCAGTGTCAGGCTTTTGGCAGCCACATTATGGCAGAGCTTTTGCTCCTTTTGTCCCGACGGTGACTTGCCTATAGAACAAGGTGGCCCTCGCGGGGCCACCCCAGCAGCAACGCAGCAACATGGTGGCGGGAATTGCAGTGGCAGCTGTGGAGTGTGGACCCCACCAGCAAATTGGCTGCTAGACCCTCCACAATATGGCATCACTGGTGGAAAGGGTGCGAGCCTGTATATATGGCTTCAGTTTTATCTTGCCAAGGGCACAAAACAAATTTAATCCTTGCTCTTTGGCACCCCAAAGCCTCTTGTTCAGCAACAGCATAAAGGATTTTGTGCGAGGTTGTTCTTTCCAAGAGTGCCATGTAGAACTATCAATAATTTTGTTCCCCTTTCTTGACTTGAAGGGAAAGCACCAATGCCTAGACCGAATTACAAGTCTCCAGAACCGAACGGCTGCAGTGCCTATTTCCTGGGTCTCAAGGTACCCGAAAGTGTATGTACCACTAACAACTAATTTTCTGACAAAATAATTTATTAACCAAAATATCCAGGGAGAAATGAACCCTTGATTGTGCTGGCAAGGGGGTGATTGCTTGTTTATTTTTGTTAATTTTTCTCCAAATTGGTCAAAGTTTGCTGCAGAGTCACTCATGTCATTGATATCAAGCACAAGCTGTCTGCCTGCGCATGCCAAGGGGGGGGGGCAGCTGGCTACTGATGGTGAGCGGAAGGATAACGTGTCACCCAACTGCTGCCCACATAATTTACTGTTTCACTGGCAAGTCAGTGTAGCATTTGGCCCCCTGTTGATGGTGAGGCTGCCACAAATGAATGAATCACCTGGATGGAACTGCATAAAAAGACTGACGATGCAAAACACTAATCCTCCCTGTAATTACTAAAAGGCAAAACTGCCCTCAGTAAGGTGAATCCTGAGAAGCAATAGGTCACCACAGAGTGGCCAGGAGCTGCGAGGCACTCAGACACGGATCAGATTGGAGCAAGTGGATACTTGACCTAATGCCAGTCGACGCCTTTGCTGGAGCAGATATTCTGCATTTGCCGGCTTAAGGTTTATGAACAGTTTATACGCCTCAATAACTTCATGCTCCCACAGAACACTCTTGTAATTGCAAATTGCTGCTGGAAGCAGCTTTCACTTCTGCACTCCCCTCGTTCTGCGTAGGATGCTTATAATCCCCTGAGTGCCCAGGGTTGCAGATGGCTCCACTAGATTGCACCCTAAATCGGGTAGTCGAAATGCAAAATTGAATGCTTGGCTAGATCACTTTGCTTCTCAAAAATGAGTGAAGCATGGTGTTTGTGGTGTTGTTCAGTTGCACTGGTACTTTCACACTGATTAGGAAAGTATTTGTACATCACCCAGATGCCCTGGCGTGAGGCCCTACAAAAGCTGGAGTGGCTTGCTTCGTCGACACGTTTGGGTCACCTGTCACAGAGGGGGCTGCTGGCCATGAGGAATCTCTTGCCTAGGCTGCTCAAAGCATGGGCAGGATAAACTGTGGGTCCCAACACTGGCAGTCAGCCGCCTTGCCTGATGTTCAGTCTCACTGCAATGTGCTGGAAGGACCAGCAGCATCGCAGCTAATTCATTCACCATGAAATGTGATAAAGCTATGAGCAAAATGTTCAGTATTCGAATCCTTTCTCCTCTTTCTTTCCTTGTACAGCTGGATATGGGTATCCCGGCCATGACTAAGTGCTGCAACCAGCTGGATGTATGTTACGACACGTGTGGTGCCAACAAATACCGCTGCGATGCCAAGTTCCGCTGGTGTTTGCAGTCCATCTGCTCTGACCTTAAACGTAGCCTTGGCTTTGTTTCCAAGGTGGAAAGTGAGTTTTCTGTTCAGGCAGACTTTAAAAATGTGTAGCTCAAAAAGGGACCATTTCCCAAGCAGCTCTAGGTCCTCTGGAGTGTGTGTTAGTATATGTGTGAGAGGAGAGCATGCACGCGTGTGGCTGGTGATCCGGAGTGAGAGAGGCAAGGAGATTGAACTGGCTGGCAGAGAGCAGAACAGGAGGAAAACAGTTTGCCTTTGAGGACATGGACTTCTGATGGTGCTTCTATGAAACAGGTTTCCACTGTTTACTGTGTTGGGGCTGAGATGCCACCTCTGTTTTGCACTCAGTCTTTTGGGAAGTCACTTGTCCTCTGTGACTGGCCACGCCTCCATGGGAGTCATTTTGTGATGGTGTCCAAGAATCTCAAATTGCCATATGTGTCCACAAGCCTAAAAAGGTTGCTACGCCTGTTCCAGGACAAGCCCACCTGTGGATCAGTTCAAAAGAGACCTTTGAGACCAGATTTCTCCCTGCACCCAAATATTCAGACCATGGATTATTAGAGAATGACAATGTCGATTATATATTTGACATCGTGCTCATTTTCTCATGGCACCTGCAGGAGGGGGCAGTTAGGAACTGGAAGTAGCTTGAATACCTTTCTTAACATGCAGTTGTTCATTGGCAGTTCCTGGTAAAGATAAAGAGATTTGTTTATATAAAAGAGAGAGATTTTTTTTAATATATAAAAGATCCATAGTGTTTCTTAATGTATGCTTGGCGAGCTTGCCTCCTGCAAATGTTGGACTAACACCTCGCAGGCCACAGGCTTCCTAAACCTTCCTGAATTAAAAGTGGAAAGTTTGCATCTGATCTCCCTGTTGGGAAGTGAAAGCGATGCCCACCTTTTTAAAAGCCAAGCCAAGCCAAGCCAAGCATGCCACCCAGCAAGATAAAGGGGTTCTGTTTTTGTTTAAGCCATTCTGGGATAAAACTGGACAAGTTAAAAAGGGCATGCAATGCATAACATATTGCTTTGAAAAATACTGTTCAGCCAGAGTCCACACACCATTTACCTCTATCAGGCTCAGCCTACAGCAGTTAGATGGCTAAGAGGCTGCTAATTTATTTTCCAAGTGTAACAATTAAGATAAATGAGGAAGCTCAGACTTCAGAGCCGCTGAAGCAAGCTCACCGAAGATTCCCAGCCCCCGTGCCTCTCATCACTGGTTTCATTAGGGATGATAGAACAGAGTAGCTTTAGTGCTTATAAACATACACATCCTGCTGGAAACCAAAGAAATACGCCATGCTGACCAACATGATGGGTACCCAGGCAATATCAGAAGCCCATAGGATCACATCGAGAAGTGCCTTATACCAGGTCAGACCTGAGCTCCATCTTGCTCTGTACAGGTTACAACAATTTTCCCTAATCACATGCCTCTTGGAAGGTTTGCACTGCAAAACCGTTCCCCCTCCAGCAAGCTTTCTGTTCGCCTGGCTCAGCCTGCAGCTGGCTTGCTATGGCTGTCATTGCTACATCTTAGGAGCATGGGAAAAACTTGGTTCCCACTTTTCCAGCAAGGTTAACACAGAATGGAAAATCAGACAGAAAGCTGCCACTAATTGTGGCTAGTCAAAGGCATTGTTCAGCTCTCTTGCCTTAACATTTCTTTTTTTAGTCAAGAAAAGGGTTATAGAAATGGTAGGAGAACTTTGAAGGGTGGCAAAGCAAAGAGCAGGACTGAAGCCTCATAATAGTCTGTGAGTGAGGCGGGATAATTCAACAGGAAATGCCTTCTCCAAAGCATCCAACAAGAGGCCTTCATTGTTGGCTCTGAAGGTGCTTGCTAGCCAGTCCACACGGGTGGCTTGGGGCATTTTTCCCACCCCTGGCCTCTTCTGTCAACCCTTCTTTCAAATGGTTGACTTCTTCAAATTGGGCCACAAATCCTTCTCATAATTAGCAGCTTTCCTGCTACTTGTGGTCAGCCCTAACTAGGAGCCTGTGCAATGTGCTTGGTAAGTAAGTTACCAGTATGTGACCTCCTTCCCTCTCCTATTTAGGGTTGCCCTGAGAAAAGGATGTAGGTTTCCCATCCCTTTGGCCAAGGGGCCTTTGGCAGCCACAGGCTCTTGTCCGGGCCCCTGGCTCCCAGCCCATCCAGGGAGTGGTGCTTCACACCGCGTTCCCTGGGGGCTGCCATGAGGGAGAAAGTTTGAAGTCTGTGCAGACTGCAGAGTTTCATGGCTGAGATTTGCTTCTTTATGTACCCATGTGTTCCCCTTCCCTCTTGGTAAAAACGTTTTCTTTACTTTTATGTACTCTCCATCAATAACACCTTTTTCTTCTAATTTGGTTGGGAAATATATGATGGGGTTTCTAACTTAGTCCCCAAGGAAAGGATTTTCTCTCTCCACATGGCTTGACCATTAGGTAACACTACTGAGGCATTTGTGCTGGTCTCTGTAAAGAAGCTCAAATAAGCTAGAGTCATGTTGCATCTTTACTCTTCTTCCCTCTAACAGGTCAAAAAACCCAACTGGCTAGGTGGCCTGACAGAGCCACCAGCCAAAATCGCAGTCCAGCTACAATGAGCAAAGGTCACTCTAATGCTGAGCTGGATTCTGAAATTTACACAATCAGGTTAACAAATCAGAGACCTGATAATAATAAATGTAGGATTGGGGTGGGGGGGGGAAGACAACTCATTTTGAAAGCTTTTATGTTTTTCTAGATTTCCTCAGTATAACTTAAATGGATTTAAAACTAAAAGAATGAATCCCTTCACTTAATTGGGGCCATTTTTTCGTATCCTTAAACTTAAGTGCCTCCAGGCTCTGCTCTTCAAAGTCATTTCTCTGAGCAGAGGCTTTGAGTTTACATGCCTTTTCTTGAAGGGCTCTCCGCATTCTTGGCGTACTTTTATGTATTTCTCTTGTAGAAAATGTACTCTCTCCCTTACGTGAACTGCTGTACAAATTTATAGTAGCATATATGTGATCATTATGCTGTCAAAACCCTTTGCCGGACTAGTCCGAATAGTTAATAAAAGTTATTACAGTTGTCAACCTTGGCTAGAATGTGAGGAACTGAGAAATATGGTCAACAAGAAGTAACTATTCTTCTCGCATGTTTGCAGCAACTTGGAGCAAAGGGGAAGCAGCATGGAGAAAGCACATCCTCTTTACCAAGGCTTGGGGGCTTAGTGCAAACTTGTCATCATTTAGGACATGGGTCCTCAAACTACAGCCCGTGGGCTGGATACACCCTGCCATGCTCATCTAGCCAGCCCACCTCAGAGCTTTTGGACTCACTCAGAGAAAATGATCTCCGAGCGAGTCCAAAAGCTCTGAGCTGGTGCAGGCACACTCAGTGGGGAGATGGCCGTGATCGTGGTCACACTTGTCCAGGGAATAAATGATGTGATCACGGTCGTGCTGGCGGGGGGAGATGGCCTGCACTATCGCACCCATCTTCCCCCCAGCATGATCACGGACATTGTAGCTATGTCCCACGAGCGAGGGGAGCAAACATTTTTTAATTATTTTTTAAAAATAATTAATTTTAATTAATTCTAGTTTTAATTATTTTAATGTGCAGTGTGCGTAGGAATTCATTCATATTTTTTTCAAACTATAGTCTGGCCCCCCAACAGTCTGAGGGACAGTGAACTGGCCCCCTGTTTAAAAAGTTTGAGGATCCCTGATTTAGGGCTTCAGCAGATGAGATGAAGGAGATTCCTAAACAGAAATCCAAAGTTGCGCGGTGGTGGCTGTGGGGCAGCAGAGAATAGGATCAGAGCCGCAATACTGAGGAAAGCGAGCCACCCACGTCCTTCTTCTGGGGCCACCTGACTGAAATTGACCTAGATGTCGAGGGGGAAAAGCAGTTTGAAAGGAGCGGATTTTAAATTGGGGAAATGGGTTGGAGGAAATGGTGACGTACATCAGGCTGAGGGCAGGATCCAGATAAAAAAGGCCATGATACGAGGCTTGGGGTTCTTGCAAAGGATCCCTACCCAAGCAGAACATCTTGCTAGCATTAGGTAGCCCCTCCTCCTTTGGAGTGTGTGAGTATATAAACCTCAGAAAAATTTTCCTTTAGCTATCTCACTGCTTGCTTCCTCCTCTAATCCCTATACACTGCGTAACCTTCGCTTGGCATTCTGGGAGATTCTCCTGAAAACAGGATCTATCCTGTTGCCAGTAGCTGGTCCAGCCACTTTTGTGAGACTACAGGTACCTTGGGAGCACCCCTTGCTCTGAAAAAACACTTTTACGTAACATTATTTTATGGAAAGGGAGGGTAGAAATCCTAGAAGGAAACAGATTCATTCATAAGACTGCAACAGCCATGCTGGGCCAGACCAAAGGTCCGTCTAGTCTGGCGTTCTGCGGCCAAAGGGCAGGCCTCCCCCCAGCCTTGCAATGGAAACGGCAGAACTATAGTCTGCTTCAAGTGAGCTGTTGACTCTCTTAAAAGAGAGCGAGGGCCTCATACATGTTCCATTCCGTGTACACTAAGCTGGAAGTACATTAAATTAAACCTACATTATGTAAATACTGGCTATTCCACTCTGCCTTTGAGCAAGTTGTTGGTCTGAAAATGTTTTAAATGGTTGTTGTCTTTATGTAAGGTGTTATATTGCATGGTTTGAATTTTTGCGTTCATATATTGAATTGTAAATTGTTTTGAGAGGGCTTTCCATTTGGGACCATTGGATGCAGTTTTATAAATTAAGTAAACAAACAAACAAAGGCATGTACTGAAATATAAAAGTCCATTTGTCCTGAAAGAGGACAGAATCAATATTAACTTAGTTTAAAATATGCAATCCAAGGGAAATGGGGGGAAAGATGGCATAATGATGACAGTTTCAGGCCAATTGCTGCTCTGTGCAGCTGATGCTTTCTGGGGTCCCCAGAAACTGGCAGACCTGCGGTCCCCTCAACCTGATTCTGCCCACCTGAACCAAAGAGAGAGCATGTGCTTCCACGGGGCCCCCGCCTATAGCAAACTGTGCACATCACCTTGCATCCCGAAAGCAATAGTATGGAGACCTAGCCAGCTATTTTCCAGGATATAACCAGCAAGGCCAATATTGTTAACGATCGGGATGCCAAAAGCAGGAGGCAGAAGGCAGAGCTCTGGCACTACGGTTTCAGACGACATGTGGTTAAGTCTCAGGAAGATTTTTAATTCTGGCCAGTTTAGACGTCCTTTACTCTGAAGGGCTATTATAATGAGCAAATAAATGAAAGTATGTAGTAGGTATGTTAAAGTATGAACTGCTTTGTTCAGAAGCACAACCGAAACAGCAACAGCAATGCCCAAGGGTATCTTAGAGGAGATCACTGGTGTTGCCCTCATTGATACAGGTACAAATAAAAAAGAATAACTAGCACGACTACTCTTACCATGCTCACAGTATGTCTTTGTTTGCATCCCTGGAAGTTTTTGCAACAGGTGACTGGGGAAGTCCCCGCAGAGCGTAGCACTTCCCAGCAAGGGACAGGCATGTCTGGCCACCCACCCGAGGACTGACACCCGGCAGGGGTGTCCTTCACAAGAGCCCTCTGGAGTTGCTCTACCTTTACTGTTGCTAGCAACTCACTCGCCCGAGGCTTGCTCTGGCCTAGACATGGATGGTGCCGAGGAAAGATGCCGCTGCTGGTGTGCTCTCTGGCTCTCAGCAATGGCCGTGATGGGGTAGGACGAAGAGCAGCAGGCATGGATGATGGAGGCAGTGGGAAGGCAGGCCCACAGGGGGAGAGGGATGACTAAGAGAGTCTTGCTCAAGGACCCTCAGAAACCTGGATCTGCACTGCCTCTTGGCATGATCAAGCAAGAGGCAGCTTGTGGGCGAACAGCTGCCTACAGACAAGCGGAGCGAGCCCCATAAGTAAAAACCTGGGATTGCTGCTGCTGACATGCTTCTTTCCCCCTTTTGCTGCAGCCTGTGAATCAATAGCGGACACAGTCTTCAAAACAGTCAGGACTCTGGGCTGCCGCCCCTTCATGAACAGCCAAAGAAGCGCCTGCATTTGCAGTGAAGAAGAACGAGATGAATTGTGAGGTGAGCAGCCAGCCATGCGGCGGTGACGCTCGGACTGTGTGTGTCCCTTTCCATAGAAGAAGCTCCGCCGTTCACCCTGCAAAAGGTGCAGTGTTGAACATGGCCGAGTTAGGAGAGCCGTTCACTTGCACCTTTGAGTGTGAGGTGGGTTGCGAGGAGCCTGCACGAGCGGGGGATTGCCTGGGGTGGGCACCCTGTCCGTTCCATCTGATGTCTTCTGTCGCCCTCCCAGACCTTGCCGGGATGACAACCCTCCGTGAGCATTCCAGATGTAACAAAGGATGCGGACTCTGTAGGATGACAGTGACGATCATACACCTCTGCAGCGAATATGTGCGCAAGCGACCTACAGCTTTTGCCAGGCAGCTACGAATGCTTTAAGATGGTGCTGACCTCTGCTCCCGGAAAAAGCGATGCAGAACTGCCTAGTCATCCTGGACCACTGGCAGGTCAATAGAATGGTGGCTTGCCAGAATTCGCCTTGGGACCAAGAGGAGGAACATCAACAAAAGCACATATTCGGCATTGTTTCTGAATTTGTCATTAATTTTATTTCCATTCAGTCATTAGTCCACTTAGAGAGAAAGAACAGTTGCATGGCCTAATAGCAGGAAAGAAAGGAACCGATGTTATATTGACCGTAAGAAAAGTTTAACACTAAGACAATTGTAAAACTAACTTTTATTAAATAACAGATATCATTCAAAATAACATCAGAGACTGCCAGTTATGTTTATGACTCTCTCTCCTAGCTACATAAAATTGCTGTTATTTTAGCACTTTGGGTAATATAACTGTAGGTACTTTTATAATCATTCATATTTGCCTTACACATGGTTTTTCCACACTGTCACTCACCCCAAACTGAAGGCTTGCTGACATTTTGCACTGAAAATACTTTTCTAAATATAACCTGCCGCAACTAAAACTCCTTATCAGAGTCAAGTCTCTTGGGGCAGCTTTTGCACTGCAGTTACAGAATCACAGAATCACAGAATCATAGACTCAGTGATAGAGTCATAAAATTGTAGTGCTGGAAAGGGCCAGAAGGCCATTGGGTCCAAGGCCCTGCTCAGTGTGGGACTCCAGGTTGAACCATCCCCCTCAGCTGGTGGCTGTCCAGCTGCATCCTGAATGCCTCCAGTGTGGGAGAGCCCACAACCTCCCTAGGACATGGGTTCCCTTGTTATACTACTCTAACAGTCAGAAATTTTTTCCTGGTATCTAGCCAGACAATATTTGCATTATCATTTATTTATTTTCTGTACTGCCCAACAGCTGAAGCTCTCAAGTGCTGGGCAAATATGGGGAATTCAAGGCCATTTTTGCCCCTGCTAGTTGTGGTCTCCCATGTAGTCCCCAATGAAAAAAATTCAGACATCATCCTTTTTAATCTCTCACAATGGTTGTACTTGACAGCAGAACAAGAGTGATCTGACCGATGCAAAATGGAAAATATTCCATAAACTAAGAATGAGTTGGAAGGAGGAGGGGGACCACAAGGATACCCACTGTCTGCTCAGAAATGATAAGACTGTGGGTTCTTTCTAGCAATGCACATTTAAACAAGTTAAAGATGTGTAATTTTCAGCACTGTAGGTGTTGGCACCTGTTTCCAAAGGTGCTTTGGTTTCTTCAGTGTGAATTATATAGATTGAATGCCTAGTGCACTGGCTCAGTGCTGAGAGTTCACACAAACAAGTCTTTAGGTTACAATCTGCCACCTCTCAAGACTTCCACAAAAATGAAAGTGAAGAGACAAGAATGAAACAATGTTGAACAGAAAGAAAAAGGGTATTCTGGACTATTCTGCCAGAGGCAGTTTGAGGATTGCAGTGAAAAAGTTCTAAATTTTATATTAACGAATTCCATATAATTTGCTGAAAAAGGAAATGGTGATTTAATATCACTAGTTCCTCTTCTGTAAATTCAGTAAGTCAAATTAATTGCATTAGCATCATTGATCACAAAGCCATCTTTGACAGAAGGGAAATAAGATATGCTGATATTTGAATACCTGTGCATTAATCTGCTTTGTGAAAGGTCCCAAAATTTGTTCAGATTGCAAATTATGCCATTTGTTCCCTTCACTTTTTGAAGATCCCTTGCTGTAGAATTTCAGTATCTATCAAAATGCTAATATGACATTCAAAATAGCTAGATCCGTGAAAACATTTTTTTTAAATCACTCTCTGTTGATTTTAATGCAAAACAAATAAACTGGTGTGCTCATGCGCCAGTTTAAGTTGTTGGTCCATGGTAGCCAGTGTCCTCTCCCTAGTTTTTATCTCCATGTCATTGTAGATAAAACTCAGAACTCCTACTTAAGTGATTAGCTTGATACTTTAATTGTTCTTTGAATAAATAATTTCCAATGGACATTGGTACCATTTTGGTCCTCTGAAGCAAGTGATTAATTCAATCACATGAAAGCTATCAAATAAGCTTTGGAAGCAGATTGCATTTGAGTTTTACATAAGCAAGTTGGGATTTCAATGAAAAAGTTGTAATCACAAGGGCTTGTATCCAATGGCGTGGCATTCTGCTAGTGCAAAGCTTCTATTGCCTTCAGGAATCCTGTTTTCATCCTTAAGTAAGTGTCAAATTACAAAAATACATTGGTTCTGCTTGTGCAAGACCTTGTGCAAGGCACTGCCTACCCACATGTAGCCAACATGCTGTTTGTACTATCGTGCTAGTGCTGCTAGTGGCTGGGCAACTACAGACAGAACAATGCCAGCTCCTGTAACTGGCATTAATATAACTTAATCTTCCACTACTATAAGACTGGAGAAAACTCAGCCTTCCTCAGCCGAGTGGGATTAGGCACCCTGGCTAGTGGGTTGGACTACAACCGTCAGCATATGCTATACAGGCAATTCTGGAGTCATAGTCCAATCCATTTAGTGGGCACGGTTAGAGAAAGCTGATCTTTCTCTTTTGGTTTTAAAGCAGACTCCAACTACAGTTCACTATTACAGATACATGGGGGAAAGCTTCTATTCACAAGACAGACCTACTCCTCCACATCGATTCGAATTGGGCCACCCGTCAAGATGCGATTAGCCACGGGACTGGCTTCTGCCTCCTCTGCCTCAGTCCATCTGCGCATCCGTCTGCGGCAACCTTGCGCACAGCGAGAGCTTTCATCTCTCGCTCCACACACAAGGACACGGCAGTGCAGGAACACTTCCTGAATGTAAAAGGACAGATCTGTTAAGTATCTCTGTGGTCTGGCTAAATATGTTACGCCCTTCCTCCATCCTCGTTCTAACGGTGGATTCTAGGATTTGCTAGAAAAAGGACACAAGTTCGTAGATGGTCTGGGGTTGGAGGAACAGTTACATGGAAACAAGAAATTCCTGTGTGTAGACTGTTTTGCCTCTCAGCCACGTGAAACCTGCCGGCTTTTGAAAGGCACAAAGGAGGAACTGAACAAGAGGAAAGCAGTTTCATGTGCTAAGAGTTTGCCGGACTAGGAGGCTTGTACTCCTTCTGTCTTGACACCACTAACTGGTATGGTGTTATTAACCTTTCTTCTGTCCTTGCAGTGTCTTCTCCCAAGCAGAAAATCTAGCCTAGAAAGACAGCATCGAACTGTCTGCTGCAAGATAATATGACTCAGATGTTGGTCCTGTAGGAACTGTACCCTAAATTGCCAGACTCATTTACCTATTAAATTAAATGCATACATAGCAAGATTTGCCAGCACTGAAATGCAAGTTGTCTAGAAGGAAACAAAACAAACAGTGACTGGCTATTTTGCCCACCCCACACGTTTTGGTCATAAGCGAGGTCTCAGGGTGGTTTGTGAGACACCCCTGCCCCTCACTTTCACTAGGTTCAATTAGCAAGGCTAATTAGGCAGCTCATGCCTGGCATATGCAAAGAAAGAAAATAAGCTACCATAGCTATTTTTTCTCCCATTGTACAAATGTACCCAAAGTGTTGGCACCTTACAAGGAGCAGGGTTGGAAGTAACTGAAAAAGGCAATAGTATTCCATTCCTGAACATGGGTTGAAAATCACATGCTGACATCTACAAGTTCCAGGTATCTTTAGCTTTACCACTTAAAAGGAAACTGTGGCTAGCCAAGTTTTTCTCTTTTTCTTCAAGGAGACAGAGGGCATAGCAGCTGCATGGAATTTGCATGGATTTTCTCGTCATTCTAAGAAACCTCCTAAGCAGTGCTTTTTTTGTAAGAAAAAGGGTGTGAAACTCATGAAATTATTTACCTTTCGCATGTAGTCAATCACTGTACACACACTCACACACGTCAGTTGTGTAATGAAACATAACGGTCGCTGCCCGCAGAAAGCACTCAGCGTGCGACCATACGGCCAATCACGAGCCGAGCAGCGTCCCAAGCCGAGCAGCGCCATCATATCCAGTGCGGACAAAGTACGCCTGCATCGGACTCGACACGCAAGCAGCCCGCGTGCACCGTTTTAATGATTTTGCCGCTGACCTGCTACACTCGACAGGGCGATTCAAATCCACGTGGATCAAACATCAAATTTTCAAAAGTTACTTTTAAAACTTGGAAAATCTGTCGGAAAAAGGTGCCAGAACTCCATTCTGGTGCGTTCTATGACAAAAAAAGCACTGCTCCTAAGAAACCCTGGGACCTGTGGTTGGGATGCTAGTAAATCTTCTCTGGTGGCAGCCATGGGAGGCATTGGCATATGAACCCATTCTGAGTTTCTAGGATGAGCCCGCATATACTTGGCACTTAGCAGCCGCAACATTTGCAGGCGACTTCCACATGTGAAACAGCCATTGCGTATCAGCTATCACAGATGGAGTTTTGATGATTTTGAATATCATGCAATAGTACAAAATCTGCCAAAGGAACCAGTTCAGGCAATCAACACTGGAAGTTCTAGCACTGAAAAAAGAAGTGCCATACACTCAAGAGTAAGTTTCTGCTCTCCAGCAGTACCTCTTGCTGTCTGAAGGCCAACCCAGGAGGCAGAGAATAGGATGGACTGGGAAAGCAAAGAAGATGCATTGGCAAGGGGCTGCTCTCGTGTGACTCCCCATCTCTGGAGTGTCTTCTTTGAAGAGGTGCAGCTGGTGCCACGTCTTCATTTCTTTTCAGTGCCATTTGAAAACCACTTTAGCTGCCCAGGCCTTTTAGTGCCTCATCAGGTTTTATCTTTCTTCAGTTCTCAGCTGGATCTTTCTTTTTTGTAATTTATATGGCTCATTGTTTTAAATGGTGATTTTATTGGAAGCTACTCTGGGGCCATTGCCAAAGACTAGCCTATAAATATTCTTAAATTAATTAGTTAATGAATTAGATAAATGCAATAGAGAACATATCAGGTCCTCCAGGAATTTGTCCAATCCTCTGTTAGATTTGTCAGAAGACATGTTAAAAAAGCGTGGATAACAAGGCATAGGCTAAAATGCACGGGGGAGCAATATAAAAACATATATTGGAACAAAAGAATGAACTACTGCATAATCTGTTCTCACATATATGTGAGTGAGAGGCAGTGAGGTGCAATAGATAGAGCATTGGACTGGGAAGACCCAAATTCAAGTACTAACCTGCCTCATGGGGTTATTGTAAATATAAAATGGTAAAGAGAACCATGAATGCCACCTTGAGCTTCTAAGGGGAAAGGCAGAAATAACATACAGGGGTTTATTTTAGGATACTCTTCATGGCCTCATTTTCTTTACACTCAGCTCCCAAAGGGTATTCTAAACTGGATTAGGGTAATCACCTTACCAGCAAGTTTTGGCAAATGGGCAAACAGACAATAAATCTCTGTTTCACATTTTGATGAGCCACTAAGAAGTGACTCTTCCACTCTCCCGAATATATAATAATAATTACAGCTGTTTCACGATTATTTGGCGAATTAAGATATCACTGCTTTGCATTTTTGCATACCTTGTTGTCTTTGCCCACAAATTTGAACACTGGCACCTGGAAGTGCTTAGCAAGATGATCCCTGGACGCGTATTGCTTCACAGAATCATCGGAAACACAGCTGAGCAAAGAGAGAAAAATTTTAATGAGTTTCACAGATATCCGAACACACAGAAAAATCCGAACGCACCGCAGGTAGACAAGCTGGCCTTCTTATTAGTCTCTTTGGCTGTGAGGGCATGCCATACATGGCTGAAAAGGCAAAAGCAGAAGCAGGGACTAGTAGCGTTGCCAAAAATGGGAATGCCTAAGCAGCATTGCGTGGAAATGCACGGACTCTTTGTAAGTGCCAAGAGGCTCGTCAACATATTGCATTTATCCCCAGTTCACCTTTCCAGACAGTGATGTATACACAATACAGAGCTGACTCCATAGGCATATGACAGCAGTTCTTTCAAAGGATGTAAGTTCAGAACTTACAGTGCAGTAAAAGGTAAAGGTTTCTCCCTGACATTAAGTCCAGTCATGCTCGACTCTAGGGGGCGGTGCTCATCCCCGTTTCCTAGCCAAGGGAGCCAGCGCTTGTCTGCAGACAGTCTCCGTGGTCATGTGGCCGGCATGACAGAACACTGAAGTGCACGGAATGCTGTTACCTGCCCACCAAAGTGGTACCTTTTTATCTACTTGCATTTGCCTGCTTTCGAACAGCAAGGTTGGCAGGAGCTGGGACGGAGCAACGGGAACTCACTCCGTTGTGCAGATTCAAACTGGTGATCTTTCGATCTCCCAGCCCAGCAGCACAGCAGTTTAAACCACTGTGCCACCTGCAGTCCCCTTACAGTGCAGTAGAGAATACCAAATATAAAATCTTCTCTAAGATATGCAACATTATTATAAAATCAGAAAACCGTTTGTGGCCATTCTGTTTAGTTTTCTGTAGATCTTCACATGTTTCTTCAGGTTGAATTGTAAAATAATATGGTTGGAGACAAATAATTGCTTCTTGAGAGGGTTCAAGATGTTTTGAAAGTGGGCTGCAGCTGAATATTCATCATTCCACATGCATTTAGGTTGCAGTGTGCGTGTGTGTGTGTAGACTTGAAGCACCTGCTTGATCAAAGGTGACAAGAGGATAACTGGGCACATGTTTTGGAATGTAATACCCACCTTTGGCTTTCTTAAGAACTATTCTCCATCTATGAGATTTTTAGGCATGAACTTGTGAGGTCTCACAAGTTGTGATACCAACAGATGAATGATTCAAACCATTATTGTACACATTTTTATTTGGAGTGGGAGTCAATATGACATGGGCTCTGATTCTCAATCGACGTAATTGAGAACTGAAACTAGTGGGACTAATTCAAGTTGAGGTCTGTAAACTACCTTCTCTTAAATAATTAGATACAAAAATGCAAAAACAGAAAATTGACAGGCTGGTATTGTTTTTCAGCAACCAGCCCTTTCAAGAGAAAAACATCTGGTTTTGCGGTGAATCAGAATACAACATGGCATATTTCTCTCCAGAAATCTAATCTCAGGAATGTGGACTTTGACGGTTATAAAAGCTGTAGTAAAGTAGAAAAGGGAAGGGAAAAGCCACAAGAGACGAACTCCTAGTCTCCTTCCCAGCATATATTAAGCTTTAATGACCCAACTCATGGCATAAATAGCTAATAAACTGTTTATGCAGAAATGGAATGGGATGGGCTCATTGGGTAATAATTAAAATCTAGGGCCATGATTATTGCCATTTAAGTACAGGCCTTCCTAGTTTTACCATGGAGGAGAGTGGGGGAAATGAACTTGTAAATACAAATGTGAGGTATTGTTTCTGTTCGAGAAACACAGCTTAGCTGCCTAAAGGTTAAGATCTATGTAGGGAAAATGGATCTATTGCTATGATTTATGCTTCTCTGTTCCCAAGCCTTATACACAGCAAGCCCATTAAGACTGCACCCTCAGGCTTTAGGGTGGCTGGAGAGCCTTTGTTATATTTGCTGCAACAGATTAATGGCGGCATCCCCTGGTGTTCCAAGACTCAACAAGCTCCCAGAGTGGTAAAGGCAAGCAAACAAGAGATATATCTTAGCAGACTACTCGTTGCGCTGCTTGGTACTTAACAACAGTTGGGGTGCTTCTGTTTACTGTTCAATCACACCACCTCATTCAGGGAATTTATAGGTGGCCCAAACGTTTTCATCAATGTGCAACCCTCTCATGATTTTTCACCACCTCTTCCATCTTCTTTCTTGCCAGCAAAAATATGCTAAATAAAAAAAGAACAGGTGCACAGAACTAAGGGCCAGAACAATTTACAATTATCTCTGATGGGAAGAATAGCACTGGTTAAAATGAATATATTACCTAAACGTTTGTTTTTGTTCCAAATGATTCCCGTAAAAATTGATAAAAAATTCTTTGATGACCTAAATTTTCAAATTTTGAGATTTATCTGGAGAAAAAAGAAACCAAGGATTAAATTAAAAATGCTTCAGGAAGCTAAAAAGAATGGAGGTTTTGGTCTTCCTGACTGGATGTTGTATTATCAAGCGTCTGTCTTAACCTGGCTAAAAGAATGGATAACTTTGCGAAATAAGAGAATCTTGTATCTTGAAGGTCATGCCCTGCAGATGGGTTGGCACGCTTCTATGTGGTACGATATGGCGATATTTTGGATAAGGATGGTGGTCTGAAACTAGATCAAGAAATACAAGAACAGGGACTTAATATCTCCTGGTGGTATAAGGTGCAGATGCAATCGAGATATGCTAAAGATTGTAAAGCATGGGGGTTTTACAGAGACTTAACGGCATTTGATCAAGTGATGCTTAAAACAGATGAGAAAATGATTAAAAGATCATATGATTTTTTACTTGACAGGAAAATGGAAGGGGAACAGGTTAAGGAAACTATGATAACATGGTCACAAAACTTCGGATATAATGTTGAACTAGAAAAGTGGCAAAAACTATGGGAGAGAAATATTAAGGTAATATTAGCAACTTCATATAAAGAAAATTTATATAAAATGTTCTATAGATGGTATTTGTTGCCAAGTCGATTAGCTAAGATGTTTCCAAATATGTCAAATAGATGTTGGAAATGTAAACATAAAGTGGGGACTTTTTACCATATGTGGTGGACCTGTGACAATGTGAAAAAGTATTGGATTAAAATACATAAATGGCTTGAGGAAATGCTACAAAAACCCTTAGCTTTTAAACCTGTAGTTTTCTTGTTAGGCATCATACCGGAAGACATTAACAGACAGGAAATGTATTTGATGTTACACTTATCACAGCGGCAAGGATTGCATTTGCTCAATGTTGGAAAAGTGAGGAGCTACCCACCGATGAATTGATTTTAAGAAAGATCTTGCACTGCACAGAAATGGATAGATTGACTTTATCATTGAAGGAGAAAGAAGACACTGACTTCTATCAAACTTGGGATTTCTTTTATAATTGGCTGGAGAAACGAGACTTGGCATAAATTTAGAGATGTTTCAAGTTATTATATACTGATTTAAATATGACTACAGAATGTTAAAAAATATGTAGTAGGGGGTTGACCCAGTAAATCCAATGTATGTAATGATTAATGTTTTTAGTATTAGTTTAAAAATTTTAATAAAATTAAAAAAAAAAGAACTAAGGGCCAGAAGAGGCATAACTATAGTTCGCTGTCTATCAGGTTTGCTTTCTCCCATCCCTGCCTCTCTTTCCTTGTTTATTTTAGGCTCAAGGGGGTCCCAATCTGGCTAGCAACACAGGTTAGGTTTCTGGTTCGGGTCATCAGCTGGATCAGGAATTCTGAGCCGCTCCTCACAGTTTTGAAGAGATGCCTGTTCTGGCCAAGGGTGGCCAACATTGAGGGTTCAGGGACCCATTTCACACAACAGAGCCCTCCCCATCGATCCTATTTTGCAGCACACTAAAGGATGCCTGAAAAAAGAATTATCCACCTGCCCCCCGGGCCATGTTAGCAGTACAGCGCACTAAAGAGGCCAAATTAGGCTGTTTTAAAGCTAAATTTGACCAGTACTGCACTGCAAGGATGAAACTTTGCTTAAAAGCAGTGAATTTGCCCATTGCTTACACCACAGTGCTCTGCAGCCATTTATTTTGTTTTGCTTTGCTTCTTAGGAAAACAAAGCCTAACGTTCTGCTGGTGCCAGTCCCAAGCTTTTGTTGCCATCCGTGTGCCCCTCCCTGGGCGAGCTTGTCTTCTCCTCTCTGTGGACACCAACTGCAGGCGGAGCCAGCCAGCAAGTGCCCAGCCGCATGGGGATCGGCACCCGCTGCCCCTCCTTCTCCCTCTCGCCATTGCCCGGCCTGCCCTTGGCACGGCTCCTGGACTTTGCCCCGGGAGGAGCTGCTCCTTGTGGCCTTGCATAGTCCAACCCTGGTTTTCCCCCTCTTTCTTCACTGATGTCAGAGCCTTGCACCAAAGGGAGCTGTTTAACTTGGTAGGCTAACTATACTTCTAACAGACAATAATATTATCAACAATATAGCATCCTCTCAAAAGCTAAATTTTCTCCCATAAGCTGAACTGCCTCCTATGGTCAGTGCACCTATGCCCAGGTGGAGATAAGGTGGGATTAGCAATGGACTTGTATGGCTGTAGCCTTCAAGGGTTTGTTTTCAGTACTGTTCCTTCGAAATTGTGAGGCTGTTCAAAGTAGTGATTATCCAATGAACAAAGCAGTTCACTTAAAGCGCTTGGGGTTTTTTGAAATCTAGCATGACAGGTCAGATCTATTCTGACTACTTGGAAATAACACCCACAGAAATGGGATAGAATCGTAGGGTTGGAACGGACCTATAAGGCCATCAAGTCCGACTTCCTGGTCTGCTTCCAGATGTGGTCACCCATCCAGCTGCGGGCCCTAGCCTTTCCACCTTGGCAAAGGTGACTCATCATGCTGACTTGATGCAGAACTGATTCAATGCACAGCGGTGCAGTACTGTCAAGGCTCACAGAGTGAGGGCAAGGGGGGGCATCAGCCCCCCCACTCAGGTTTCTCTGCACCCTCCAAGCTTAGCTGCACTCTTTATTCTGACTCATTGAGCTAAGGAGCTGATATTGACAATAAAATGTACACCGAAGTCACCCATGGGTCTGTTTTTCCTGCTGATCTTCCATTTTGCAGTGTCTACAGGCCTTTGAGAAGATAGAGGAAGAAAAGGCTTGGCTATGCATATACACTATGACGACAGCAAAGCCCTTTAATACAAGGACTTGCCTCCATATATGGATGCCAACATGCAAGGGTTGGGGTCCTACTGCCGTCTCCTGTTTCTGTTGTTTCTCTTTTCCTTTGTATTTGTTGAAATTGTTCCTGGGCTGCCTTTAAGCCTGCCATTCCTTGCAAATAGAGGTGTTCTGGAACTCTGTGGGATCCACCCCTCCAGCGTTCATGGACTTCATTTCCTGCTTGGCCCTGTCTTGGAAAGTCAGTGGAGCCGAGAGGAAGTCTGCAAATGCTTGCAGAATGAAAGTTAAGCGAAACAGTCACCTTCTTCCACATTATGTGCAGCCACACAAACAAAGACTGTGTGAAGTCAAAGCAGGCTGGCTTCTGGGGAGCCACCCTCAAAATGGAGGTGGCTCAGCCATGCACAAAGCTCAAAGCTGCAGAAGATCGGGAGGGTTCTGGAGCCTGGAAGTCGTCCAAAGGCGTGCCGATGGACTTACATAAACAGCAGGCAAAGCGGTGGTGAAGGACCATGGCTTAGTGGCACAGCAGCTGCTTTGCACGCACAAGATCCCCAGCTCAATCCCCAGCATCTCAGGTAGGACAGATACTCCTGCCTGAATCCCTGGGAAGCCACTGCTGCTGCCAGTCAGTGTGGACAGTACTGGGCTTGGCAGCCCAAGGGCCTGGCTTGCGATAAAGGCAGCTTTCCATGCTCTTATTCTGCAATCCTAATCAGTAATTAATCTTGAAGTGGTGCCACAGAAAGCCTGCTAACTGGTCCAGGCACGATTCAGTTAAAGGTTCTTACAGATAGAGTGGAAGAATGTATTTGTGCAAGCAAGAGAGGGAAAGAACCTGAGTGTGGAGCAAAGAAAAAGGTTGCTACACGTTTTCTGGCACTGTGCACTGCAGTTTGCTTGGAGATAGGGGCAGCCTGGGGACAGAGAGGACCATTTCCTGTTTGTTTGGTTTGTACACGGGTAGGCAGGTGATTGTAATCACTGCCACAATCTCAGAATGCTCCCCTCACAAGGAAACTTGGAGAGCATGAAATGATGCATACGATGAAGCCAAATGATGCTGTGTAGAGCGGTGTTCCGGATTCCTCCATGCCAACCTTTTCCCCCTCCCACTGCTATTTTTACTGTTTCCCTCACCACCTCCACATCACCACAACTGCTAAACAGCATTTTGTGTCCACTGAGCATGCACAGTCCTCACTGGGCTGTTTTGGGCTTGTCCTTCTTTCTCTGTTTAGAGACCCTGCCTTGTTTTGTAGGGTGGACAGGCCTGTCCCTCCTCCCAGCTAGATTAAGGGTGCAATTCTATTCTTCATGTCTTTGATGTGAGCCTCTAACTGGATGATTACACACAGCGGTGGTGATTTCCACACCAGGTACTTTCTTAAGCTGCCCCTTTTGGCTGTCTAGGTAAGACGCCAGGCATGGGGGAGAGGGCAGCTCACACGCGTCTTTCCATGTGTGGGAAGGGTGGGGTGGAGTTCCAAGTAACCTTAAGGTCCCCCAGGTTGTGCTGGGAGCCCGAGGATTATGCCCTACGTTATTCTGTTGAAGCCTGTGGCCAGTGCTTCCTTCCATTCCTGTGGACCTGAAATATGCTTTTGCTGTGTGAATCAGGCCATGACCAATCTAGACAAAGAGCGGTTCTGCCCTGTAGAGAAACACCGGTGTTGCTCTGTCCTTCCTGCCCCAGCTGCTCCACTCTCCGATCCCCTGCTCGGACCTGGTCATCGGGGTCCTCCCTCTCTCACCTTTGGGGCCACGGTGGGCCTCTTTGGGATCTTTCTCCCTTGGAAGCTTTTTCCCACTTGCATTTTGGAGCACTTGGAAGACTCAGGATTACCTGAGCCTGCCAATATGTAACTGGGGAGTGTGGGTACTGTGATTTGGGCTATGTAACCATAGACATGGAAAGCATGAAATTGTTCTTACTATATAATATAAAAGGGGTGTAGAACCTCAAGCCTTGGGCACAAGTCCAGTCCTCCTGGTTTCCTAGTCTAACCTTCCAGAGTTTCTCAGGTGGCCATGCCATGCTGAGCAGCGATGCCGTTGAGCGGGCTTCCCATGGAGGCAATTCAGCCTTTAAAGACAGCAATTTAGCTAATTGGTTAAATATACTCTAATGGTGGATCATCAGCTGGCTCACAAATGGCATTAACTGGAGGCCAAACTAATGGCCAACCATTATGATTACATGAGGGCAAGTTGCCCCCTGTACATGCTGTTGGAAGGCATCCATTGGTCGCCCAACCACCCCCATGGGTTCCTTTTTTTATGAAGTGGGTAGTTTTGCCCGAGCAGTTGCGACAGCTGGTGATTGCTCTGATTGGCAGCCCATCTCTTCTGCGAGTGCCAAAGGCCATTTGGCCTTGGGAATAGTTGGCACTTCCTGTATGCTCCATCCCTCGGCTGACCCAAACAGCAAAGAGGACCATGCTTTAAATATCAGATCAATAAAAGGGATGCATCAACACTTGCCCATCTTGAATTAGGTAGTACTTCAGGACCTCATCAGACTTGGACGTAGGGGTGGCAAAACAGCTTTCCACTAAAGTCTCAAGGCCATTCACGTGCACCAAGGGCTCGATCCCAAAATACAAAGAATCTTGGAGTTTAAGGGTAGGGACAGTATCCCGGTATGACTCTTCAAACTCTTTGTCTTTGAATATCTCGAGCATGAAGGGGAAGACACCCCGGTTGCGGCCCATGATCTCCAGCGGTGGGTTCTTAATGTTGGGGATGTAGCCCTCTGAGATGATGTAACGGCGAGGGAATTCACACGTGATGGGGATCAATAGCTTGCCTGTGCGGACGATGACATCCCCATTGCTGCCAGGGGTTTGCTTTGGCAAGCCAGTCACCATATTGGTAGCGATGATCTTGTCATTGACTACCTGCGACCAGAGGGAGAGAAACATTGGGGAGAGACAGGTGGACACAGACAGGGGAGAAAAGCAGGGGAGGCGAAACTTTATCTTAAGGAGATAGAAAATAAAATTTCCAGTGGTTAATGGGCAGGGCTTTTTTGCCCTTGATTTTTCCTCATGACTAGCAAAACCAAAATAAAGCTAATTAAGGACAATGGAGAACTCTTTAAATTTTCCGCATTTGGTATATTGTCCCAGCAACAAACACAGCAAAAGGCAGAGCTAACTGTGCTAGCTTTAACGAAGGAAGTACTTTAAAGTTAGGTGAAAGTGCCCCCATGGCTTGACAAGATCATGCTTTGCCTTTCAGTTTCTCCTGCGGCCCCGGGTAGCACCTCTTCAGGGCTACCACATCCTTCACCGGTTGCTTTCTGGCCTACTCCAGCAGCTCAGACAGACAGGTCGTCCTTTAGGGGGAGGAATGATTCAGTTTAGATCTCTTATTTGTTCTTGTTCTGGAAGACAGTGCTAGGCCTCCCATCCTGAAACTCCATCTTGCAAGAGAAAGAGACACGAACTCCTACTTCTGTCTAAGAACTTCTGGAGGGCACCAGCTTAGGGAAGGCAGATCTATCATGATTCAGTTTGATTTCACCCTCTTTGTTGTTTTTGCATTTGCAATATATGGCTTTACTCTTACTCTTTAGGGGATCAAGCTGAAGTCCTTTAGATGGGAGGAAAATGTGAACTCTCATTCTCCATCTACTGTTCCCAACGACCATCTATAAAAAGGGATGCATGGACAGGGGGCAGGAGGGCTTTTGATTTCAGAAAGAAACCTCAGGTAGAACGATTCAAGGGTGGGGGAAAGAGGAGGGAGAAAGCCAGCTAATGGAGGAGTATCGGGTGTGTCACAGCCCTTGGACCTTGCTTGCAGCAAGTGACGGCCTCCCAGTCATTTGGGGCTCCAAAGGAAGGTTTTCGGGTTCCAGCCCTTCAGGACTGCCTTCCAACACCACCTTGGAGGGCACTGAGGAGTTTTCTTCCCCCAGCCTCTATATATCGTGTTCCAGGAGTAGAGGAAGAAACAGGGCAAGAGGGTAGAAATCCACTTGGTGGGTTTATGCATTTGAGAGAGAGAAGAGGCCATGCCAGGGTGCAGGCTGAAGTCCTGACTGTAGCCTTCAGTGCAGAGGGAAACCCCTGGGCTGGAAGGGTGTGGAGAGAGGGCAGCCATGCAGGAGAGCTGTGGATGGTGGTAAGCAGGGACTGCAAGCGTCATGCTCAGGAGGCCTTCTGAGTGAAAGCAAGATGTCTGCAGCTTACAAAAAGGGTCAGCAGACTGAGCAAGAAAGCCGGGAGAGGGAGAGAGAGAGTCCAACTCAGCAGTCCCATCGTTCACCCATCTAAAAACCTTCAACTTGCTCATCTTAAGGTCCGGACAAGGGACAGCAGAGCTACTGAGGAACCAGGTAGACATGGATGTGAAAAGCCAATTCCATAGTGGTAGATTTGTCCATCGTGACTGGGGGTGCTGTCTTAATCGCCTCAGCCAAGAAGGGGGTGTTTCTAGTCTGTTGCTGGCAAAGCATTCTCTTGAGAATGGCAACAACGGCATCTTCAGCCTTCACCAGCCTTGTGCCCTCCAGATGGTTTGAAGTAAAGCCCCCAGCATCTCCAACAGCAGGCCATGTTGGCTGGGGCCGATGGGAGTTGAACTCCCAAACAGCTGGAGGGGACAAGAACACAAGTGTGTTCTTGAATGCAATTATGAAATTGACACTAGTTAGAGAATTCGGACAAGATTCCAAATTCCCAAGTTTTTTTAGGCATGGACTATGATAACTGGATTGGTATAAATCTCATATACGACTGCAGTGTTCGTAGATTGTTGAATGTCTTCCTACTAATGTATTCTAATGGGACACGTTTAGAAGTAATGTTATAAATAAAGAGGCAGAATTTCAGTCAGTCAGCTAGACAATATCCATACATACATCTATGGTGGTACCACAGGATTTCAGGGAGAAGATGATGTTCACATGGGTGCCATTGGATACACCTCTGCAGGAGCCATTGATGAGCCAGAGGTCCATCCCTCCTACAAGGTCCTTAGGGATGTTCACCTCAATGGAGGTAGACTTGCACAGGACCGGGACTGTAAGGAAGAGGAAATCAAACTAGTGAGCAGGAAACTACATGCCTGGAGGGGAAGGTCAGATATTAAAGGAGTCCTTTTTGATGCCTTTTATTTCTACAGCAAATGCTTCACTTTATAGCCTGATTAGCAAACTAGCCAAAAGGGGGCTAGAGGGAACAACCATCAGGTGGATCCACAGGTGGCTCAAACTGGGGAGAGGTGGCAAGTGGGGCACCAAGGGGGTCAGTGCTGGGCCGTGTTCTTCAGCATTTTAATTCATGATTTGGATGAGGAAGTGCAGGGAACAATTCTCAGATGTGCAGATGACACAAAAATGGGTAGGCTAGCTAATACCCTGAAAGACAGACACAAGAGTCAAGGTGATCTTGATAGGCTGGAGTGCTGGGCTGAAAACAACAGCAGAAAATTCAATAGGGATAACTGCCTGATAAATGCCTGTAATTTTCCTGCATCTAGGAAAAAGAAACTAAAAGCATTGTTACAAGATGAGCAATCCTGCAAGTGAGAAGGATCTTGGAGTTGTTGTCGATCGCAAGCGAATATGAGTCAGCAAGGCAATGTGGCTGCAAAAAGGTCAAATGCTATTTTAAGCTGCATTAATAGAAGGCTCTTTTCCAAATACTGTGAAGTATTAGTTCCCCTTTACTCAGCACTGGTTACGCCTCACCTGGAGGACTGTGCCCAGTTCTGGGCACCACAGTTCAAGAAAGATGCAGACAAGCTGGGAAGGGCTCAGAGGAGGGCAACAAGGATGATCCGGGGACTGGAAACCAAGCCCCGTGAGGAGAGATTGAATGAACTGGGCATGTTTAGCTTCAAAAAGACAAGACTGAGGGGAGATAAGGTAGCACTCTACAAGTATGTGAAAGGCTGTCGCAAAGAAGGAGGACAAGCTCTCTTCATGTTCACCCCAGAGAGCAGGACATGGAATAATGGCTCAAGTTACAACAAGCCAGAGTCCAGCTAGATATCAGGAAAAACTTCGTGTTTGTTCCAGCAGTGACTGAGGGGGCTGTGGACTCTGCCACACCAGAGGCATTCAAGATGCAACTGGACAGCCATCTGGGAGGGATGGGTTAACCTGGTATACTACACTGTACAGAGGGTTGGACTCGGTGGCTTCTCATCCCTGCCTACTCTACTATTCTACGATTCTACATGTATTTGTTCACCTCTCCCTATGGAAACCTTTGATCTGCTTGCTTTGATCTGTGCTTATTTCAGGCTTTAGGTTCAGCTTCTTTTATTCCCCAAAGAACTGTCCGTCTTTTATGCTGTGAAATTCCTGCCCCTCAGGATGTCAGCTATGCTTATGTTGTATATCTGAGATCCAGCCATGGCATTAACACTTTCATGATGATTCAGTAGCTGAGAGGTTTTTTTGCTGTTAATCCTAATCTTCCCCAGAGAACTCCTCCATATGGGAAATGGCCTCCACTGTAGCAGCGCTGCTACTGCTGTTCCCACTGTGATATCCTGGTCTTTGCAACCTAGGAGAGCACAGAACTACCTTTTGTAGATGTGTACTCCAGTGCAGAAGAAAAGACAGATGGTGATGGTCTTAAAAAGAATTTCTGTACCCACCACCCACAGAAACAAGCTGGTCCAGGGCTATTTGCAATGCATTATGAGGGGCTCATGGAAGCTCTTGTCACATATCTCCACACCACCTCATCAGAGTGTGTGATTGTGATCTCTTTCCCACAGTGGTGGAAATGCAACCATGTGGTAGTGCAATTGGTGGGAGGTCTACACACCCACCACTGTTGAAAGAGTGTTGAATCACTCTGTGGCTACCACGCTTGCTGCCACCCACAGCGGAAAAGCTCCGTTGTCATCTGCAGTTTCAGCCAGTGTGGAACATGGCTCTATGTGCTTGTGAGAATCTGGCCCTGGTGGGCTGGAGAAATATTTCGGTCATTGGCCTCAGTGGTGAAGAGCATGTGACAGTGCCAGGGAGAGGCAGGCCTGTATGATCTCCCCCATGACATTATTTCAGACCAGGAGGTGTTTTGGGAACCACCATTTTGAGACTGGGGGAACTAGGTCTTTTCAGCCTGGTGAAGAGGACACTCTGAGGGGATCTGTCGGCAACATATGGGTATGTGAGGGGGTGTCACACTGAGGTGGGTAGAAACCTGTTCTCCCCTGCAGAGGAAGGCAGGATGCATTCTAAAGAAGCCAAGCTCAAGGAACCAAAGTTCAGTTTGGATGCCAGGAAGCACTTCCTGACAGTCAGGACCCTGAGGGTATGGAATGGGCTTCCACGGGAGGTGGTTGAGGCCCCATTGGTGAGGGTGTTCAAAGGTAGGCTAGACATGCACATGGTAGGCATGTAATGAGCAGAGCCAGCTGGAGCTGGGGGTCAGGCTAGATGGCCTGGGAGACCCCTTCTGACTCGCTCTGTTTCTATTTCAGGAGGTGGGGAAACATGCTATGCCCGAGGGACAAATTCCAACATGGGAAAGGTCTTGTTGGTGGGACCAAAGGTGGAATGCAAAGGGCCTGCTTGATCACTGCCTGCCTGCCTGTGCAGTGAAGAAGTGGTGGCGAAGATGAGAAAGAGTCTGAGGACAAGAACAGCTGTGGATCATGGTGGCCATTCACTGAAGGCGAGGGTAACTGAAGGTGTTGTCACACCCAAGGGCCTCTGCAACCTGGACTGCCACTGACAGAGCCGTCCATAGTAAACTGTGCTCAGAGGTCCTTCACTTTTACTCATCTGAATTTAACCAACTTTGTTGCTGCCGTCACTCTACTGAGAAGCATTGGTGCGTGTGGAGAAATCTGGAGCACAGTCTTGATGACTTTGCTGACACATAATTTTCAAGCTTGAGGGATGGGCAGACTATAAATTATTTTTAGAAGGGAAAGCTGTAGATTCATGAATCCTGTTAACAGCGTAACAGTAAGAAGACATTCATTTCACCGGATTTTTCAGGGCCGTGGGTACAGGTGTTGCCAGGGTCTGATGCATTGTTTCTTGACTATCTGGAATCTGGGATAAAATGAAACCCTGCGACATAATTTCATTTTACCTCTTCATATAAAATGCTCTCATTTAAGCTTTATTGTGTTTAAAAACCACCTGCTTAGTCCAGGGAAAACGTTTGGAAAGAGAACAATACCCTGATGGGCACATTCACACACACAAACACAAGCATGTGTGTGTCCCCCTTCTGACTTCACTAGACAAAAAGCAAACAGGAAAGGAAAAAGTGAGCTTTTCATTCCTGCTCGGGAGGGTACAAAAGAGAGAGAAGGAATCAATGTGGTCCAAATAGCAGAGAACAAACTGGGGCGGAGGGGGAAGGAGCAAGAAGAAGACAAACGTTGCTTTCACGTCTGGGAGGCACAATTTGGGAACCATTTCCAGTCATTCCTGACAACAGATAACTTTGCATAGATGAATTGATCAGCTCATAGGCCTGATTTAGGACATTTATTAAGTCGCTCAATGAACTCCTTGATAAATGGGCATGCCTGGTGCTGTTCTGCTGTTTGGATCCCAATTTGGGTGCCTGTCTTGCATTAATCAAGCAAAGCCAGCTCAGAAAAAATAGGCTTTTCTTCTCCAAAGCAATATTTTAAGGGAAGCAAAAGCACATAATGAATTATGTTATTGTCCAGGCCTCTCTTCCCCCACCCTGTTGCGAGCCACAGTGAAAGCTTGTGCATTTGAGGCAAGTGGAGGTGTGCAGAGGAAGGCGTTCACGCATCCCTCATCCAGAGCTTGCTACCCCACCGCCGGTCCCAGGACCTCCCTGTCCTCTCCTTTAAGGGATTCTGGTGGGGGGGGGGGAGGAAAGATGGGTCCCAGGAGATGGCTAGAGTTCCTCTCCCAACGGCCCCTTGGCACTTCCACTCAGACCCCCACAACTGTCTGTTCAAACGTGGTTTGTTAGATGTTGGCAACTATCACATCTCCTTTGGAAGGTTCTCTCTCTGGCAAATCCCCCTTCAGTTATTTCACTGCTGCAATGCACCCTTTCATATCTCCTTTTCCCAGTATGAACCATTTATTCTCGGTATTAGTTGCCAAGGACAAGCTGTCTTTAAACTTCCCCGCTCTGTTTTTCTCTGTTGCTTTTCAGGAAAGAACACCCTACTGGCCATGGCTTTTCTGCCTGCTTGTTTGGGTCTTTCTGGTGAGAGCTCTGCAGCTATTCCAGGTATGAAACGATCTTACGGTGCTTTCTAAAATGCAAGCAATTTTTACAGCTGGATGGTTTATGCTGAATGTGACTGAAGGGAGCTAATGTTTATTACCAATTTACAGCCAGACTCTGAAGTGCAGCATTAATAGGATGCATGAAAAGTGCTCAGGGTAACTGTTGGCATTGTTAACTACCCTGTCACCCTGCAGCTAATTAGAATTAATAAAAGCTGCAGTTATGCAGTTGAAGGCAGATTGTACATTTTGTATCCCCCATAAATTACTGCTGAAGTAAGGGCAATCTGGCATGAACCAGATGTTTGGGAGTGCTGGGCATCATGGGAACTATAGACTAAAGCATCTGGAGGGTATCAGGTTGCCTCCCTAAACCAGAGGTGAGAAACCCCAGGGCTTATTCACTGGCTCAGCAGTGAAATAGGTTCTCAATGGAAACTTAGATTTAAATATCATGCAAAGAATCAAGGTACTGCAAATGTTTTGCATTTGCTCTTGCAGGTAGGAGACCTGTTTACTTGTGAGTAGGCTTCAGATCTGGGATGCCATTTGTAAGTGCTGCTGCCCTCCTTACTCCTGTGTTCTTAGCATGGGTTTAAAATAGTAGTAATCTGGGTAAGTTCGTTTTGCCCTTTCGCCACCTAAAGCATTGTATGTGCAGCCATACATTTGATTTGCTCAAAAAGCAACTCCTGTTCCTTGATATGCAGTCCTTTTGAACAAAAGTGTTTGATTCTTCCCATTCTACTCTAGATCCTCAGCCCAAGTCGAAGCAGCTTTGACTGCAGGGCTGATTCACCTATCAGGCAAATGGGGCATGTGTCCTGCCGATCAGCTTTGCAGAAGGGACTTGCTGCAGGACAAACCAGCAATTGCCCCTGGCAGACGGTGGGAATCTACTGCAGAGGCAGCCCAGCCTGTTGCGGTGAGAGGGGAATGTGGAATACTAAGTTTGTCTCCCGCTCATCCAAATGGCAGCTTGGGAGTGATGGTAGCATGTTGGGAAATCCCTGGCTTATATGGAAAAGGGACTCTAGGAGAAGCACCAAGCCAAAAGAAGGAGAGGGGACCACAGTCAGGACCCAGCTGAGATCTTCCTCCATGCCAGGTGGCTAGAATGAGTGGGTTGATCAGTAGAAAAAAGCTAATTTATGAGTGACACCGGCATTTGAGAGGGTCTTCTTCAAAATGAACTTCAGCTCTAACAGGCGAGAAAAAGAATAGGCACAAGCTGCATCTGTTCCGCAGCAACATTCTCCTGGACCAGCCACAAAGTGCAGCTTGCCACCGGACACCCTTCTTGTCCTACCTTGGCAGGTGTGGTCGTCCTCTGACAAGACAAGGCCACGTGGGCACTCACACCGGTAGGTGTCTCTCACCGTGACACAAGTATGGCTGCATCCGCCATTGTTGTTGTGGCATCCTTCAATTTCTAGAATAGAAATAAGTAGAATAAATGGCAGGTACAGCTAAAGCTTTGTTCAACCTAGTAAAGGAGCTGCCTGAGAATCTGGCCAGTTTGCACGTCACACTAAACCACCCTGAGAATAAGCCATGGCTTCTGGGTTGTTCCTTGAAGCCCAATGGAGGATTGCCTGCTTGGCAGCATGCCAAGGGTTGGTTCTCCTTCTCGGTTGCTGCCAGCACAGTTCCCACAGGTCTTCTTGGCAGAAATCCTCATTTTCTGCAGCCGGCTCACTGGGTTTCTGCCTAGCGAGGGAACCACCTCTTCCCGGCTGCATCAAATTGCCAAAGTTATTAATGTTTCTGAGCCTTTACGAATGCAGAAATGCATTAGCATTTTTTTTCTCTGGTGGCTTGTACACATTGCTGCTTCCCTCCCTAGTGAACAACATAAAAGAAACTGCTTCAAATTCTGCTCAAGGAAGAACCCCCACACCTAAGGCCAACCCTCTGCTGCAGCTGCTGGCCACCTTCAGGCCTCTTCCCTTCATGCTTCACTTGATCTTAGCCAAAAGGCCAAGAAGCGATGCCACTCTTCATGCTTAAGGCTTCCCTCCACTGGTCTCCTATGCGAGCTATTAGACATGCAGGAAGTAGGATTGTTACACATTTGCAATTGTCATGGCAAAGCAGTAACATGGACAGGGAAATCATGCGAATTTTAAGGCAGAGCAATAAAACAGAGGGGGGAATTGCGCAGCTCTAAAGGTGGAGAAGGAAAACTAACGGGAAAAAAAGGCAGGATATAAATCGAAAATAAATAAATCCAAATTTCCTTCTAGAAGACATTGTCTCCTGCACACCAGGACCAACCCCCCACAATTTTTTAAACATTGTGAATGCAGCCAGGATACCCCCCCCCCCCACCAATGGTCTTTTCTAGAGAAAATGGAGGGTGGTAGTGGCACTAGGAAGATTGTGAGGCGTGGCAGGAGATTTTTGCTGCTCTCACTGGCTCCTTTCCAGCCATGATGAAGTCACCCTGGCAGGTTTGGGCACTAAAAAAATGCCACACTAAGTACAACCTCCCTAAACGTTTCTACTGTAATCCATGGGTTTTCCATGAGGCTTGCCTGGAAAACAACCCATGAGGGATGAACCACCCACCATAACAACCCACTGCAGCTTAGTATGATGTGTGAACCAGGTCACTGGCAGAACACTGCTCTGTGCCCAAACAGGTCACAATAGGAGGGCAAGAGGGGGATTAAACCAAACACAGCAGTGCTATATTGTATGCTTCCATATAGTACACATTTATACTAAGTAAATATAGCACACATTTACTTAGTTCTCCTTCGTAAGCCTCCCTGAAATGAACAAGTAGCCTGCAGCTCATGCTTTTGAGCTGCTCTCCTTTATTTCATGAGGCCCGTACAGGAGAGCATCCCAGGTGAATGTTCTGACAGTCTTGAAGAGCAGGATGCGCGAAGAATTTATGCCCTGCTTTCTTTAAATCAATGTTATATCTGTTTCTAAAGCTGTTCTTAGTCTGCTAGTAGTGTTAGGAGATGACATAAACTTTAAAGAAGCTTTTGATGCTTTTTTAAAAATCTGAAACTTGGGAAGTGGCTTTGTTGACTTTGACTGGCAACACTGACATTGACTGCCTGGGTTTCAGGCAGAAGTTTTCCAGGCTTACTTGAAGAGCACACCTGGAGCTTTCTACATGTAAAGCAGGTGTCATCCTATAAAGTTGCAGACCCTTATGGGTGTTTCCCAAATTGTGTGTTTAAGCATACAGTTAAGACAGCATATGGGAATGGCTAAGAAGAGAAAAGTCTCAACATCACAAACTTTGCTGTAAACACAGATTCATCTTTGAGGATCTCCCTGTCACTTGGAGAGTTTCTCACCCTTTGAGGGATGAACTGGTCTTTTAAGCTCCGGTGTATTTATGGAGGCGATTTAGGTAGAGATTTTCAGTCAAACTTTCTGACAGTTTCAGTACTTTCTATTGTACAAAAATAAGGTTTGGAGAAACATCAACAGCTGTGATCCTGGTAGTTGTACTTCTAATTTAAGAGTAATTGAAATGGTGAAAAGTAAAAAGAAAGAATGGAAAATTCCCAGGTATGGTTTTAAAAACTTCATTTTGTTAAGATAGATGGATTTCCACCAACTGAATTGAGATATAAGTTAGTGGTCCCATGATATGCTTCAAAATCCCATCACTCTGAGATTATAAGGCTCAAAATGCATTATATTCTTCAAGGGTTTTGTGGTTGTGCAATAGATGCCAGGGTGGCTACAAAATGAATAATATATTTCTTGGAATGGTTCATAAACCGCATGGCATATCAGTAAATATGAAACCGACAAACGTGATTGTATATTGTTCAATAAATTCCCAGGAGAGCATTATACACATGAAAAATGTCATCTACTACTGCAGTTTTAAAACTATCTATATAGCAGGTACGACCTGCAGAGAAAGAAGCAATGACTCTTTCTAGTAAAAACAAGAAGGTTGAAATGGCCAGAAATCAGGCAGAAGTACTAGTCCCATGACAGACTAAACAGGGATTTGAATATTTAGGATGGATGAGTACCAGATGGTGTAAAGGACCACCAGTGGCTCATACCTGAGGGGCAGGAGAGTCTAGTCATCTGTTGCAGTGGCAGCAGTTTGAGCTGCACGGGAACTATCCATGGTGCTGAACTCTTCTCTGAAAGAAGATTGGCACCATGAAGCTGCTGCAAAGCTCAACATGAAAGCTGCAATGCACAAGGAGCCCGACTGAGATGGGAGTTGCCAGCCTTCCCTGCTAAGGCAAATCCAGAGAGGCTAGACATGATGTCATTTTACTGAATGTGCACATTTTTAAAACTGCGAACTTTACAGCTTTCATACATTTAAACAAACTGTAAAATAATACATTACAGAGCAAGGAGGAGATATTTAACCCTTTCCTGTCCTGCTCCATTCCTTGAAACAGGAGCAGGCTGGCGCATTTCCTCTCAATGCAACTAGTGGAGGGGTTTGCCCAGAGTCATATCAGGGAAGGAAAAGCTTAAATCTCCCCTCCGCATCTGATGCAGTCCAGCTTTAGAAAACCCTGAAATTCAGTGCCAAGATGCATTGAACATCACATCTAACTTGAGCCGCATTTGGCATTCTACAGGAGAAGGATTTAACAATGCACAGCTCTGAAGCAATGCTCTAGGTCAGTGGTGGTGAACCTCTGGCACACGTGCCACAGCAAGCATGCAGAGCCCTCTCTGTCGGCACGTGAGCCAAGTCGCCCCAGCATCGCCCCAGCAGCCAAGCATCAGCTAACAGCTCACAGAGGGGCCATGCGCATGCTTGGAAAGGAGTAGTGGTGCCAGGTGGTGACATCACGAGCCGTGACTCATTAGCTGCGACTCGTCCGAGCTTTTGCATGGCCGGACAGTGCACTGCCAAGAATAGATATATATTTGCTTGGACTGGCTGTGAGGTGTTTCTTCTAAACTAAAACCTCAGTTTTCAGGTTTTATTGCTGTGTTGGCACTTCGTGATAAATAAGTGGGTTCTGGGTTGCAGTCTGGGCACTCGGTCACTAAAAGGTTCACCATCACTGGGTTAGGGTAAGAAAAACCAGGTGTCCTGGCATGGTTTTGATGGTTAGAATGTGTTTAGAATGGGCAGAAATGATGAGCTGTGCAGAAAAAGCTACTCAAGGGTGGCTTTTTCGAAATCGTCCTCTTTTCAATGGAACTTTCCCCCTATATCAGGGTTAGGGGTGTGCACCAGGGAAGAGTTAGGGTTAGGAAAATGAGGTGTCCTGGCATGATTTTGATGGTTGGAATGTATTCAGAATGGGCAGAAATGATGAGCAGTGCAGAAAAAGGAGAGGAGAGCCAGTGTGGTGTCGTGGTTAAGAGCATGGGACGGGGACTCAGACGATCTGGGTTCTAGTCCCCACTCAGCCATGGAGCCAACTGGGTGACTCTGGGCCAGTCACAGACTCTCAGCCCAACCTACCTCACAGGGTTGTTGTTGAGGGGATAAGATGGAGGAGGAGAAGGATGTAAGCTGCCTTGTGCCCTTTGTAGGAAAAAGGCAGGATATAAATAAATAAATAAATAAATGCTACTCAAGGAAGGCTTTTTCAAAATCATCCTCTTTTCAATGGAACATATGCCCAATATTAGGGTTAGGGGTGTACACCAGGATAGGGTTAGGTCAGTGGTGGCGAACCTATGGCATGCGTGCCACAGCAGGCATGCAGAAACCTCTCTGTCAGCACGTGAACCAAATTGCCCCCACATCGCCCCAGCAGCTGAGCATCAGATAACAGCATACATAAGGGCCCTAACTTTAATCCTAACCCTAACTAAAACCTCCGTTTTCAGGTTTTATTGTAGTGTTGGCGCTTTGCGACAAATAAGTGGGTTTTGGGTTGCAGTTTGGGCACTTGGTTTCTAAAAGGTTCGCCATCACTGCTCTAGGTCCTCTTAGTTAGTCCACATTTATGTCACTGTCAGGTTCACTCGCTTCTTAAAAAGCAAGAAGATGTATGCACTCAAACAAGCGTGTTGAATCTGTTTAAACCTGAGGTCCAAATTCCACTTTGAAGAATCCTGCAGGATGCTGCATTCCGGTGGTGGGCAGAGATGAAAGCAAAGGGACGTAAGGCTAAAGAGTATGGTGCAAAGCTAAAATACGAGATGTGGCATTATATTTAAGCTTGGTGCATTTTCTGCCAGTAGGTAAGTCCTGGGGGAGTCATGTTAGCCTTTTTGAATAGGAAAAGTTGGCAAAACTGAGAAACCACTGAATGATTTGCAGCTGGGGAAGGGGTGGGGCCAGGAGAAGGGGAGTGGGTCTCCTTTATGGTCAAGTTTGGTCCTCAGGCCTGAGATTCAGCTCTTCTGCCCTAGCACATGGTGGGCATGCCATGAGCAGAGCCGGCTGGAGCCAGGGGGGCAGACTAGATGGCCTGGGAGGCCCATTCTGACTTGTTCAGTTTCTGTTTCTGTGTTTCTACATCACAATGGCACACCTTTTGATCTGCTGGCCATGCATGGTGGGAACTGGACAAACCTCCTCATTTGCTTACAGGTTGAGAAGGAAAAAAACAGTGGCTGTCAAAATATTTAGCCACTAAGTGCTTTTTCTTCTTGTAAGTACAACCTTATAAGTACAGGCACTGATAGCTGGAGTGGAATGTTTTTGACTATGTGAACATTAACCTATCCAGTTGCTGCTGGAGGTGGACCTTAAAGTTCAGCACTGAAGTAAAGTACGCATTGCCTAATTTCAGGCAGTTACCCTAAATGAGTTGCTATTACTATTGTTATATTACATTTATATCCCAATCTTCCTTTCTCCAGCTAGGAACCCAAAGCAGCTTCCAGTTTTCCTCTTTTCCATTTCAGCCTCACAACAACAACCCTGTTAGGATGGTTAGGCTGAGAAGCAGTGACCGGTCCAAAATCTCCCTGTGACCTTTGTGGCAAAGCGGAGGCTGAAACCCAGAACTCCGAGTCCCAGCTCAGCACGCTTAACTACACTGGCTCTCCTCAGCTGTTCCCTCACTCACCTTCACAGCTCTTTCCATCCTTCCCCAGAACACGCCCAACGCCACATTCACAGCGGTAGGAATTCTTCAGGTTCACGCAGAGCTCACTGCAGCCTCCATTATTTCTGTCACATTCATTTTCATCTGTAGAGAAACAAGATCCGCACATCCATGATTTAGCCTGTGGCTCGTGGCAAGATCCTGCCACGTGCAAACCAGTGCTTCCATTCATGCAGCCTAAATCACTTTTTTTATACCAGAAAAATAGGTTTCTTTTCACCACGTCATGCACTAGTGTATGCCACATACAAACACGGGCACGTAAGTGTTATTGTGCCATCTTGGCTTGCTTTGGCGTGAACAAAGAGGGCTTTATGGGAGCAGCCTTCCCAGCCTGGGGCTTTCCAATATCTGGCTGATATTCCACCATTCCTAGTCCGCATTGGCCATGTATCTGCCAACGTACATGGCCTGCACTGAGACATTTTCTCCATAAACTAGGCCATGGCCTGATGCAAAGTTGCACTCCCCCTTGCCCCTGATTTCCAGGACTTTGATTTTACATTGCAACAAATGCACCTCCCCACAGGCGTTGTTTTAAATGGAAAATGTTGCTGAACCACTGCTGAGATTTGGCACCAATTTGGAAGCAGCGGGGAAGTGCAGTCTGCACTGGGGGTCCATGAGGGGCAGGAGGAGGAGGAATGATCCCTGGACCTTCCAGAATTGCCCACTCATCCTTCACATGGCACAACACACCTGAGAGCACCTGGATGACTTTTTCTTGTAGTGCCAAGTGTTGAGAATATATGTTGAAACATCAGGCAACCAAGAACTCAGCAAAACTAATGTCAGAATGGAGATGCAAGGGGGACCAAAACAAATAAAACCACCAACTTCTGGACAGAAAGCTGAGAACACATTGTAAAACAAAAGGCTGCGGTCAGTTCTGACAACTGTTCTTCTTTGGCTGGTCACACCATTCAATGAAGGCTTTTCAGAGTCTCCTAATTTGGTTTATCTTTGTCAAGTCCATTCAAAATGATTCACAGGAAAGCTCTAAGCTAGATAGGGGTTTGCCACAGTATATCTTGAGCTAAAATGGAATCGGGAGGGACTTGGGGTATCCAGGTACAAATTCCCACTTGGAGATCACTGGGGGGCTTTGGGCCATTCTCCGGCTCTCAGCCCAACCCACTTCTCAGGGTTCTTGTGAGGAGAAAGTGGAAAGGTAGAGGACCAGATGAGCTACCCTGTGTTTCTTACAAGATGGAAAGGTGGACAATAGATGCGACAATACCAAACTAAACAATCTCTACGCTTGTATGTAGAGCAGCTCCTGATGGGCCAGGATCCTACCTCACCTAGTGGGTATTTATGACATGGATTGGCTCATGTGGTGTAGAACCCCTTCTCATGTGCAGATGATGGGGCCAGGCTACAGGTAAGATTTTCCCATAAACACCCTGCACACCTGAGAGGAGTCCTCTGAACCCCAGTGTCTTGCCTGCTCATCCCATATTAAATAAGGGATTGAGGGGTTGCTCAAGCAAGCATGGCTACAAGACAACACGCTGTGCCATGGCTAAGGAAACGGAAAGCTGGCCTGCCTGCGTGCCTGCCTGCTCAGGCGGCTGGCCAGGTGCAAGCTGGGGGTGGGCAACTCAAAGGCCCCTGCAGCTCTTGCTTCTGATGGCGCTTGATCTTCCAACCAGACCAGCAGCCCTTCAAAGGCAGGGATGACCTTGGTAAAGCCAAGCACCTGCCATCTTAGGAGAGTGTAGCTTGGCTGACTGCCTCTCGGCTTACTGTCTCAGTCAGGGGACTATGCCAGTCAGTCAGTCAGTCTATTGCATTTAGCCATAGGCCATTACAAGTTAACAAGCTAAAACATTGAACTAACAAATAAAACCGTAAATCAAATGTATTAAAACGTAAGACTAAAAGACGGACCAGGTGTGATTTAGGACAGCGTCCCCTTCAAAGCCTCCCTAGCCCTTGTCTTTTTAGCTGCAAGAGCAAAAAGATAGACTCGATAAGACACGTGCGTATCAGCATCTGGCAACAAAAACATTTACTTCTCGGGATCAGAGTAGGCATTAAAGACAGGTAGAGTGCTAGTCAATTTTTCCCCCTAGGTTCACAACATAACGAACAGTAGCGGATACAATGCAAGAGATCCTCTCTGTGATGCACTGGGCCTAGGCAAGGTGGCCCTGATCCGTGGCCAGGGGACCAAGCTTGGAGGATGGTACTGGCCAGGGAAGGGTCAGGCGGGAAGGCTTGGGGGGCTGCCACGGCTGCCCTACCACCCCGCCGCCTCCTCTGCTGGGGGGCCGTTTCCTGCTGCCCAGTGGGTGAGCCAGCCAGCCTCACGGGGAAGTTCACCAACACCACACCACAGATGAGTGCCCTGCAGAAACGGCTGTGCTGGGGGTGCTTCGAGCACACTCAGGTCATGGAGGTCAACGATGGCTAGTAGAGGTGTCAGAGGAATCCACAGTGAGTCCAGGTGCAGCTGGCAGGATCTGGCCTGTGTATTCTGCACTGGACTGCTTGCAAATGAAGGACACCTGCCAGTCCGCAACATGCAGACACAACTGATTTCACTAAATCGGTGAGTCCCCATTGGCTGGTCACCTGAGTAATCTCGCTCGACAGGCATGCCCTAAGTAACTCGTTCTCACATCCCCACCTGGTATTTCCATGTGTCACTTGCATGCTCTCTCTCAGTCTTTGCTTACCAAGGCAGGACTGTCCATCTGGTCCCAGTATTGTTCCCAAAGAGCACGTGCAATCTTCCACATCCAAACAGGACCCCCGGCAATCAACCACGTCACAAATGTCATAGAAATCTGCAGAATGACCAAGAAGGTTTGTTAAGGAAGTGCAGCGACCACCTTCCCCATCCTCAGTTAAGTTCACAGAATGTAGACTAAAGTCAAGATGTGATGCAGTCATGGTAGGGCTCTGTGTTCAAATCAGTTCACCCTCCAATGCTTACTAAGAGGAATAGGAGGGAAGGATTCCCAGCTCTTAGTCACCCTGCCTTTTGGAATTGCTTCTCTTGAACAACTTCTCTCCAAATGAGCTCCAAGACTGGAATCAACCTTTGCCAGGAGAAACATTGCTGAGGAGGAGAATATATGGGTGGGGGGGAGGAGGAGGAAAGGACGACTGGTGGAGGGGAGGATTCCGTATCTCTCCTCCATCAGCTCATGTTTAAATCATGCTCACCCTGACTTTACCCAATTCATCATGGAGATGTATCCAAAGCACTTAAATCAGAGTCATGGGAATTAACACTGAATGGAACCCATTGATTGTGCTGTCTACGGTGCCTCGGAGGCTGCAGTCCTGTACCACTTAGCTGGGCCTAGGACCCATGGTACTCAATAGGACTAACTTCTGAGTAGACATGAAGAGATGAGGATGTACAGGAGCAACACCTTCTGGTGAGATCCATGGGATTAGAAGTGGTATGCGAAGCTTTCTATTTGGGCATTCAGCAAAGCTGGCCCATGCATCCTCTGGCCCCATGGTGAGCATGCTGATCCCTGGCAACCCTGGTTAGAAGACCTCAGCCCACAGGTCTGGAAAGGACCTCTGCCTTGGAGCATCGCTCCCAAAGTGGCTCTCCCAACCTGCTGCTCTTTGGAGGTTTTCAGCTGCAATCTCCAGCATTCCCAACCATTGGCCAGGCTGGCCCAGCCCTGTGAGGGCTGAAATCCGAAACTTCTTGAATGCATGATTCAGCTGTATACTGAGATGGGGTATCAGAAAATGCCCTACCTGTTAAGATAGTCCTTCTCCCAGGAGTGGGGCTTATCTTGATGCATCAGGGATCTTCTGATAGCCCATCTCAGTACAGAGCTTAATCATGTGTTATCACAATAGAGTCTACCTATGAAGCTTTACTAGGAATTTTGGGAGGTGAATCTGGTGCATCAGGTGTTTGTGGTTTCCATCCTTAAAACTGTTTTTAGACATTTATATTGATCCCCACCCCCGAATATTCATTACAGTGACACATGGTGCATTTATATAATAATACTGCAATAGCTTTGCATTGTTATAATTTGTATCGTTCTGTAATACGTAACACAAGTTTATAAAGAGACATGTTACAAATAACAGTTCTGACTTTCATTCCGATTAGACTAGGGCCTCCTGCTCCAGCAAGTGAAATGATTATTGACTGACTGACTGACTGACTGATTGACAAAATAACCAAGGTTTACTCCCTGAGGGAGACCAGAGTGAAATATGGTAAAATCAGTAATTCAAGAAGAATGAACAGGAGCAAAGAACAAGTTACACACAAACCACAAAATTTAAGGCAGCCCAAATAGCTGGGTGATTAGAAATACTATATTTTAATGGTGCTTCTTAAAGCTCACAGAGAAAGGACTCTGTGGATCTCGTGAAGGACTGCCAGAGCAGTTTTTTGAGAGTCCTTGTGCAAGAACCCCTCAATCAGACCCCTGCTCAGAAACTCAGCTTCTCCCCCCTTGCCTGGGTTGGGCCCACTTCCCCATAAGAGAGTTTTCAAAGGGGGAGGAAGATGAAGCTGGGAGGCCACAATCTCCACTGAACTGCCACAACCAGTGGACACAAAGAGAAGCAGTGCCATCTCTGTCAGTTTCCAATTCTGTGGGAAAGGCTAGTGAGCAAACTGATACTGATCCAAGGGAACAACATCAGGTTAAGAGGGTGAGTAGCTGAGAAACCTCTAATGGTCCATGTTAGCCCTTAAGTGGGAGGACCCACCTTGAAGGACCCACCTTGAAAAGGGCATTTTGCTCTTTTCAATTTGGAAGGGAGGGGAGGTATTCAGTTGAGAACTTATAATTAATTTGCATTTCCTTAAGGGCTTGTATTCTAACTCTGCTTCTTCCTTTTGTTGTTGACTTCTGCAATAGTCCTGTTTGTACCACAAAGCCACTCAAGCTGGTCAGCTTTAACATAAACAAATCTTTAACCTCAGACACCCCCCCCCCCCGTTTGGGAAGTGGGGGAGAAGCAGGGCCAGAGACTCAAGCCTTCAGCAGCTGCCCATCCACTTTCTCCTCACGGTTGCCACATGATGAACACCTGGAGGTGCCAGTTTTGATTTGCAAAGCTGTACCAGCGGAAACTCCCTGAGCTGTAAGGCTATCAAAGACTGAGGTGGCTTAATAGTGAAAAGCTGGTCAGCCCTGAGCAACTTGCCTTCTGTTGATGGATGCTGCGAATTGTAGGGCTCTTTGCTCTCCACACACACTAAAGCACTAAATGGCTCAATGCCTGTCTCATCATGAACCTGTCCAGGTAGTAAGACCGGCAGGCCAAGCCTATTTGGGGGCACTGTTACCTTTCAATTATGCTGCCCCCAAGCTATGACATGCACTCATCTTGCCCGGGATTTGGTCTCCAACAGCCTGCGGCCTTTGGACCCCAATGATCTTATATGGCAGCCTTTCCCAGCTGGGTGCTCCCCTCATGACTTAGATGATGACTCCCATTATCCCCAGCCATGCAGTGCAATGCATCTGAAGGGCATCAGATTGGCAAAAGCTCCATACATAGGTTCTTCTCTTTCCCTGAAGTGCAGCACTTGAAGGCGTTCTCAAAAAGGAAAACATATTTATGTATCCTACACATGCAGCAGCTTAGAAAATCTTGCCAAATTAAACAAGGTGTCATTGTGAAACAGAAAATTTACCAATCAGCTAACAGCTAGCAAACATGCAAGCAAGTGAGCAAGCAGGCTTATCGACCCATCTTGCAATCCCACTGCTTTCCTTACAGGGAGGGATGTGGCCACTCCCTGGAAGCTTGTGAGAGAGTGGGCCAAATGTGGGGTGGGGGCTGCTTTGTCAGAAGGGGTGTGAGTTCAACCTCAGTGCCCCCCCCCCATGTGCCCCTCAGCAAAAGGGGAAACTTCAAGCGAGCCCTCCCCACCCTCCTGGCTGATTACCGTTTATATGAGAGAACTGTTTTCCAGGAGAATTGGATTACCATAAAGATTAATCTTTTATACCAATGAGCAGTGCAACTGGAAGCTATTAACTAAATTGCCTAGAGATACAGAACTGGACTGGAAATTTCTTGAGGAAGTCAGGACATGATTTTCTCTATCCTTTTTAAGATTTGGTTTCTGGGGGCAGTGAGTCAGATATGAATATTCCCCACTGCGAACTCAGCAATCCACTGGAGATTTTCTTGTTCATTTCCATACATTAAAAGTGCTGTTTATGTGCACATGGGAACGCAAATATGGGGAAATGGCGCCATTTTGAAATTGAGAGTATATTCTTGTCACTGTAGTTTACCAATGTGACAAACACAAGAACGCATTTCTACTCGTTTGCAGGTGCTGGCAGAGACACCATGAGCTTTTCTAACAGCTTGATGGGACTGACAGTGCTATTGGCAACACTGAGGTATTCATAATTTTCAGAACTGAACCACCCAATCACAACCAGCCTTTGTTAACTTGATACCCCACCAGATGTAGTGGACGCCCACTCCCATGCCCTGGGCTGAAGAAAGCGGATCTAGGACTTCTCGTCACACTGCCCATCCTGTGTGTTCAAAATCTGGCACACCCGGAGAAGCTGAGGAGCTTACAAGGTCTAAGGCAAGGGTCCGTGAACTTTTCCACCAGGGGGCCAGTTGAAGCTGCCAGCGATGGGTTGGGCCGGAAGGGTGGTGCCGGCAGTGCGTGGGGGCAGGGTGGGTGGTGAGGCGAGGGGTGGGCGGGTGGGCGCATGCGGCGAGGGGGGGCGAGGCGGGGTGGGCCCACGTCAAGAGGCGGGCGCACGAGGCAGCGGCTTGCTGCTTGGGGATTGTTTTCTCTGAGGGAGCAAACCGCTGCCTCCCCGTGCGCGGGGCGAGATAGGCAGCAGCAGCCATGCTCGGCGGGTCCAGATGGGCATGGCGGGCCCGATCCAGCCCCTGGGCCGTAGTCGAGGACGCATGGCCTACAGTCAAGGTGTTCGGAATAGCAGGAGGGCTGTCCAGCAACAGACTGCTCTATGAAGCGGGACAGGGAAAAGTGCCACCTCAGCTCTGGCTAGACCCCAGTGGAGCAGTGCAACAGCTGCTCTTCCCCTTCCTGGCCAGACACTCTCTGGAGCACTTGGGGAATCTGGCTTCCTTCTTCATGCCCTCAAACGGGCAGCGCTCTTCTCAGATTTCTGACACACCTTCTGAGGTAGATCTTGGCCACTCTTCCTCAGTCTGATGACTTCCAGATGTTTTGGACCAGAGCACTCCTGACTGTTGGCCATGCTGGCTAGGGCAGATGGAAGCTGAAGCCCAAAACATCTGGAAGGCACCAGAATGGTGGAGTGTTGACCTTACTGGATCTGGGCCAGTTGTGTGAACCCAAGGAACAGTGACTCTTCCTAGGTGATACGAGGGGCGTCAACATCCATCACTTCTTGAATCTATTTTCTAGGCTCTGCAACAAGGTCCTCCTCTCCCTCTGAGGTCTCATCTAGTTCTGAGCTGATCCCACAAGGGAGGTGGGAATGTTTCGATGGCCGTGCTACTTTGCAGAGCAGTACATTACAGACAGTAGGGATCACATCTTTGAAAGTGCCTCTGCACCAAAAAGCCAAACATCCCTTTGTTTAGAAGAAGCCGCAGCCAGTGAGAGAATGCTTGCTTTGCAGGCAGATGCTCTCACAGTACCCAGCATCCCCAGGACGGGTTGGTGAAAACTCCTGGAGAGGAGCTGCAAATCCAGTCCCTGTCATCTGTACTGGGCTAGATGGTCTCACTTGGCATAAGGCAGCCTCCCATTTAACCCAAATGCACATGCCAGGGAGAAGGGCTCATGCCCAGAAGAACAGAGCATCTTGGAGAGAGAGGGCTAGGACAGGCATCTTATGGAAATCACAATTACAACAACATGGGGACTCATTCAAATATGGGAACTTCCATTTGAAGTCTAGAATGGTCCAGCCAAGAATATGCTGTGTATGCAAACCCCTGATCGTGTGTTTCCATTCACAAAGCCCTCCTCATACGCTTTGCTCAAGAAGCATCACAAACAAGCAGAGAGTTTTGCTGGGGTCACTTACGCCCACAGTAGGCATGGTAGCAGGCCCTGGGCTTGGTTAAGCGGTAGACGTAATAGCCTCCTGGGCATGCCTTGACCTGGATCGTTGTGTTCCAGAGGCAGCAGTTTCCATTGAAGGTTGCACAGGCCTGCCTTTGGACAATGCCATCTGACTCCTGAGGGTGGCTGCCATTCAGCCAGATCGGGGCGTGGGTACCACAGTGGTTCTCCGGGATACAGAAGGTGGGCATGGCATCCCCAGCCATCGCAGTGAAGCGGTACCATTCTCCATCGACACGGCTGTCACACTCCGGTTCATCCACAGAATCGTTGAACTGGTATTCTGTGTTCCTCCAGGGTTCATTCAGACTGATATAGGCAGAGCAAGGATCAAGAGCTGGAACACAGAAAGAAGAGAAAAGCCAGTCATGATTCAAAGAAGCACACTATAACCTGGGGAGAGAGATCAAAGAAAAGAGAAACAATGGGTAAATTCATTCTTTTGCTAAGAACTACTGTCTATTAGGAAGATATGACATAAGCAGACAGAAAGATACATTTTAAGAGAAATGGCCTCCAGCACACTGAACACCATTTGATATAATAAAGTTGGTATCTTGTGAGCCAGAGTGGTGTGGTAGTTAGACTCAGGAGATCTGGGTTCTAGTCCCCACTCAGCCATGGAGCTCACTGGGAGATATTCTCCAGTCACAGTCCCTTAGCACAACCTACCGCACAGGATAGTTGTTATGAGGATAAAATGGAATAGATGAGGATATGTAAGCCACTTTAATTTCCTTGCAATGGAATGACAATAAATGCAATGAAATGATAAATCATCACCATCATCATAATCTAATCAACTGAACTGCAATAGAAACCACATAGGTAACACACCCACCCACACCCCCCATACCTCATCATTAAAAGCTTCTCTCCTTGCTGTTCAGAAAAGAAACTCTCTGCAGAATTTCTTTCAGAAACAAATTCCTAGGGAAATTAAAGAGTATAGAGCAAGACACAGTAGATAATGTCTTTTTTCATGCATTCCAGCTCACCCTCTATTGAATATGAGATTTCAGATCTCATCATATCAATAGATAATCCAGAAAAGTAATTTGGTAAGTCATAATCAGATTTCACAGAATGTGAAATGCTGAAAATTGCATATTTAGAAGATGACATTTACTTAGCAAAGGATTCCATCCTGTAGCTTTAAAGGGAAAATTTTTTTTACAGTCCCCATATTATTAGAAAGTTATGAACATTAGGAACAGATCCATATTTAATTGTAAGTGTTTCACTTGTGCTACCCAAATCTATTGGAAATCTGCTCCAAACAGCATTTTTTGAAAACCTTCTTTCTGGCCAGTGCAACAACTTCAGTCAGCACACAGTCAAAGCAACATGAACTCTACGGAGAGCACCAAAGAAATCTCAGCCTCAGATTTCATCATGGCCATAGGGGCACCACAGGGGACCTCGAAAGCATAAAAACCAAAAAACCAAAAGACCCCTGTGGATATTTTCCAGTTGGAAACCACTTGTTCGGCTCCTCAAAATTTCAGCACCATGGACCATTTCATAAGCTTTAACATCACCGCCTGTCTGACAGCACCAATCAAGTTGTGCTGGTGGGAACAGCAGTAGCCGCTCAAAGGGAAACCCAGAAACTAAATCCAGCTAGCAGTTCTGCAGTGAGAGACATCCGTGGAGCTATATTCTGACTGTGCTAGCAGTCATTCCAGTGAGTGCGAGGACAGTGTTGGTTCTTGCACATTGGAGGCTCAGTTCAACATCTTTGGGGGTCGCTCCATTCACCACACGATGGCACAAAGGACTGGAGGCCCCCTATATTTTATTTTATCTGTCAATTTATATCCTGCCTTTTTCCTACAAAGGGCTCAAGGCAGCTTACATCTCCTCCTCCATCTTCTCCCCACAACAACAACCCTGTGAGGTAGGTTGGGCCGAGAGTCTGTGACTGGCCCAGAGTCACCCAGTTGGCTCCATGGCTGAGCGGGGACTAGAACCCAGGTCGTCTGAGTCCCAGTCCCATGCTCTTAAACACCACGCCACACTGGCTTTCCCACACCACACTGGCTCTCTATATTGTGTGTGTGTATACTGTGTGTGTGTCTATATTGCTTTAGAGTGCCAAAGCAAGTCCCAGTCCCCTGTCAGTCCTTATTATGGTGTCACCTAAGAGTAAGGGCTACCTCATCACAGAGGAATGAGCTCAAGCATAGCCTCTCACATACCAGCATGTCCATTTTACATCGGACATGCAAAATTCAAAAGAGATGTACTTTTAAATTGCAGCGCATGTGCAGAATTTTCTCCTCATTAGGAGTGAAAGAGAAGTCTGAGGGTTGCACACCTTCTCTCAGGCACTGAATCTAGCCCTCTGCTCCTCAGCTAGTCATGCCAAGCTAAAGGGATGAACATCATCCTTAGGATGCAGCCCCATGAACACTGACCTGGGAGGGGGTCCCGTTCCATACAGTGAGGATTATTTTGGAGTTAACATGCATAGAATGGCCCTGCTAAGCATTTAGAAAAGCAGCAGAGAAATTGTGATGGTGAAACGACATGGCTGAGCCCAGCTGCAGTGTGCGTGTGAAGAGAGGGAATAAAACATTCAGGTCATATTCCTTTGAGAAGGAACAATCACCAAACGCCCAGGCCATGCCTGAAAACCAGCGTTCAACTACTGGGACTCTTTCAGGGTTTTCTGGTACCACATGCAGCCATATTACTAAATGCAACAAAGAGCCAGCTACTATGAAGCTGTTTGATGTACAAATCAATATGTAGAATTTTCATTGGCTGAATCGTGCTATCAGTGACACATAATCAGGCCTGAAAAAAACCCTCTTTTCTGGAACTCAGCATGTGTGCACTCCTGAAATGTGGCAGACACTAATCAGGCTCCACTCCAGAGAAAACGAGTTGGCACTCGACAGATCACAGCAGCTCAGACACAGGACAATTCGCACCAGTCCACCCCTTCCTCCTCTGGCTCCAAGCACCCCTGGGATGAGGCCCTTGGACTGCAAAAGAAAGCCCACCACATGCGAAGCCCAGGTGTTTCAGAGGTGATGCTATCCAGCACCTTGAGTCACACCCAAGAGGTCACCTTCGCCAGCCAATGCAGATAGGACAAAATTGGCGAGGCTTCTCGTGTGGCACATTTCCCGAACAGTGAGGCATCCAGAGTTCTGCGGAAGCTTAAGAAGTGCCCAAGGGCAGACTTTGCCCTTTGCTGTATGTTCTGCTTCAATGAATTCTCCTAAGTGGGTGACAGCAAGGAGATGTTGTATTTATGTATTTATTTAATTATTTAAGCAGGGGTAATTTCTTCACCACCCACAAATATTGTCATCTGCAGTGGGAGTCATGGGTATGTGAAAAGGGCATCTGAATTAGCCCATTCCCAAAAAACAGGATTTCATAAAACTGAAAAAATTAAGGTGGAAACCGTCGGAGAGAAGAATGTAATAAAAATATTCATGTCACTTTTCATCAGGGCTGTATTTAATCTTCCCTTAGCTTCTGTGGTGAAAGTTTGCAGCTTAAATCTTTGCATACATTTAACAGCTGATTAACCATGACTGGCCGTGTCCACCGTTAAAGCTGGATTTATGCTAATATTTTTCTGACTAGGCAAATTCTTTACTTTTTATTATCCTTCAACTAAAAAAAGCCAATTGCTTAGATTAAGCATATCAAAATTGAGCAAAAAGCATTTTCTTCCTCTTTGAGTTTAGATTCCTATCAGGTGTCCATGCCACTGTTGTATTATTTCACTTAAAATTTGAGATTTGTGTGATATTGTTGGAACCATTTGAAAATAAAAATGCATTGTAACCTAATAAGAAAACACTTTCTGCCAAAATGAACTGTGGCTCTTGACTACTGGTCCATTTGCCCAAGACTATGGGTATTGTGGTGGTCACAGTCTATCATTTCTTCTTGTTCTGGTATTTTTTAATCATAACAGTTGGGCAGCAGGGAAATCCGAATCCATCTGTCAGAATGACTGCTCCCAACACTGAAAATCACAATGAAAGCTCACTCTAGTATATGATCTGCTGAGTAAAAAGAGCATCTGAAGAGCCAAAGCTCTTTGGAATAATTATAAGCCCACCATGGCCTTTGAACGACAGGTTGCAGGCATGCTACTTTCAGAGAGGTAATCATAGCTTTGCTCCCACTAATCAAGTGGTGAAGGCCATTGTATATATAGCCAACATGGTGCCAAGCACATACAAGAGTTGGACTTGCAGAATTGCTCCCCTTCCCCCAGCAAAAACAGGCAAAAAGAAACCTAGGTGAAGATTAGCAAGTTTGGGGCCAGAACATGCAGAGTGAGTGTTTCTGGGAGGGAAATGGAAACCGGTGGGAGGAGGAACGGAATGGAGTATCCTGGAGGAGGACATGGCCACCGTCTTGGAAAAGTGAATGAAGCTGATCCGTGGGAGGTTTATAGGACAGATGAAAGGAAGTACATCTTCACACAACCTATAGATAAACTGTGGGATTCACTGCCCTGCGAAGTTGTGATGGCCACCAATTTGGGCGGCTTGAAGAAGGAACTGGACAGATTCATGGAGGGGGAGGCTATCAGAATGGCTGCTATGTGCTACCGCCTTGCTGGCCATGTGCTACCGCCTTTCCCAGAGGCGTCATGCCTGCACACACCAGTGGCAGGGCAGGCAGGGGATGCGCCCATCTTGCTCGAGGGATCCCGTGAGCCGCTGGGTTGCCACCGTGTCTATGGAGCGCTCGACTTCGGTCAGCTCCAACATGGCTTTTCTTACGCTGCAGCATTTGTTACTGGTCGTATTTGTACTCCGCTCTGTGGCTGGCCCTCTCCTTCCACAGCAGTCTCTTAAAGAAAATCTATCTTCCCCGCTGCGTTCTGTTGTATGCTCCATGGTGGGAAAATAGCAAACGGCCACAGTGGTGTTTCGGGTCATTTCTGCCCCTGTTCACATTCATGGAATGGGGTTCCTCCTTCAGCCACCCAAAAAGTTTCCCAGGGATTGAGGAATCCTTGGGAATGATGTGGCAAGCGGCAGACATTAGAGGTGGTGGTAGAAACCTCACTCCCTTATGTAAGTAGAGAATTGGTATTTAGATATAGTTATTTGTATAGGAAAAGGGATACCCCAGCATCCCTCTCAGAACAACCTATGGCACCCAAGAAGACAGACATGGACACAACCCATCTATGCCTGTGACAGTTATGAAGCCGTCACAGTGCCTGAGGAAGCATGGCAGTGGGGATCACACTTTCCAGAAGCAAGTATTCAGTGCATTGCATGCTCAGGAAACCGAAGATCTCTGCAACAAAATGCAACCACAACCCTGGACTGCCTACAGCAAAGGGGATCGCACCGAAGCATTTGCTGCATTCATCCTGCTTGCCTAAAAGGGCCCTACAAGGAAGACGGAGTACATTGCTGGATCAGGGGACAGGGTTGTGTCTACTCACCCACGGTGTTCTCCTGTAAGGGCTGCGCTTTAGCATGGAGGCCAAAGGACAGAACCAGAAAGACAAGCATCCTCTTCCAATCTGCAACAGCAAAATAAGTCCTGCCAGGGGCACGCTGGGGATTCACCTGAACACCCTCTGAGCTGCACCAGGTGTTGCGGCAGGTTCTGCCCACAGAGAGAGAGAGAGAGGGAGGGAGGGAGGACTATTACGGATATGGGAGTTTTATCAGAGGAAGAGACTGAGGGGATACGGAGCTCAGGCGCAGCCTTGACCTGCCCAAGGAGTATTGCCTTCTGAAGACAAGGAGGGCTATTTTTTCCCCTCTTTCATTCATTTTTGTTTCCAAGCCCATCCTCCAATTGTTTGCTTGCAGAAGTGCCTGACAGGGACACATTTGCTATCTTATCTGGAAAGGACCACTAAGGAAGGGAGACAGGCACATCCTGTGGAGAAAGATGGCTCCTATAATCTCTGTCTTCATTCTGTTTTGTCTGTTTCCCTGAATGAGGAAAAGGCAACCATAGAGACTTAATCAGCGGAAATAGAGCAAGGGGCAAGGGCCCTTCCCTCTCAAGGCTACCAAAAGGGTACAAAAGAGTAACGGGGGGCGGGGGAATATCCTTCGCAGCTCAGGAACAGAAAAGCCACACAGGATCACACCAAAGGCCTATCTAGCCCTGCTTCTGTTTGCACCACGATGACTATAGCAAAAGCGGGCAACTTAGGTTGTGTTCTGAGAGAGAACTCTCATCCGCTCTTGCCAGCATACCCAATGGGAAGGGATCATGGGAGATATAGTCCAAAACAAATGGAGGGCTGTAAGTTGTCTACTATTTTTATCATTATTCATTTATTAATTTATTAATTTAAACCATTTTTATGCCGCCCCATTCTCAAAAAGCCTCGGGGCGGCTTACTACAGTAATACATAAACAAAAATAAACAGTTTATACAATTAGAGTTAAAAAACCGGAAACATCTCGGCCTGTACATGAAAACCCCATAAATACAATTCATAAATGAACTGTGGGAATGCCTGAAGCAAGGCATGAAAGCAACAGGTCGCTCCCGCTTGTGTCCCCGTGCCTCTGGTATATGCAGCCACACTACCTCTGATACTCGACTAGTGGCTGCCTTCAACTGAAGTGAGATTTTCTCTTACAAGCTGAAGGAACCTCCGTGGCTGTGCAGGTATCTCTGAGGGTCCTTTTATATTGTTAATTTTAATTTTATATTGTTATTTTTGTATTTTATTGTATTTTATTGTGTTGTAAGCTGCCCTGAGGCTTCGGCAAGGGGCGGCATAGAAATGTTCTAATAATAATAATAATAATAATAATAATAATAATAATAGGTAGGTAGCTTGCGGTTCCCAGAACGGTTGACTTACAAGTCCCATCAGCTCTAGCTAGCACAACCAGGGATGCAAGGTGGTAATAGTAGGTCTCGGGCAGCCTCAGGAGCTGGGCGTGTCATCTTGCTTAGCTTGGCCATGGTGGTTCAAGCACTGATAACCTCAGGATTGGATGACGGAAATGCACTCTTGGGGGGGCTGCCCCCGGGCTGGGCTGGAAGTTTCAGCTGCTTCAGAGTGCAGCCGAAACGTCCAGAGTGCAACCCACAGGGGCCTCTTTTCAACAGTGCGTCACACTCTGCTGAAAGGCCTGCACAGGACGGCAATAAGCTTCTGGCATTTCATTTCATTCTATTCTGCCCAACAACAATTAATCAAATGAAAAAACACGTTAAAATCACAAAAACCATAAAAGACAGCATATAATTCCAGTATTCAAATTAAAAAATCCATTATACAAAAATATCAAACAGTTTAGCATCTAAAACATATTCATTAAAAACTGACCTAATTAAAAGCAGCAGATATAACCTGTTATATTCCGATTAAATACCATTATATATCAGAGAACAGAAGGAAGTTTTAACCCAATTCAAGGTGTTGATTATGACCTATAAAGCCCTAAACGGCTTGGGTTCTGGCTACCTGAACGAGCCCTTACGTCCGTATATGCCCGACCGCCCTCTGAGATCTGCGGGAGAGTCCCTTCTCCGGGAACCCTCCATGAAAGAAATTAGGAGAGTAAGTACCCGGAGGAGGGCTTTCTCTGCGGTGGCGCCCAACCTATGGAATTCACTCCCCAAAGAGGTCCGCCTGGCACCGTCGTTACGGGTTTTTCGGCGCCAGGTAAAGACCTTTTTATTTAAACATGATTTCAATTGTTAAATCATATGATCTGGCCAGGGCAACTTCTTCTTCCTTCTCTTTCTCCTCCTATATTTTTATTTTATACTGATAATTTTAATTTTATATTTGTAAGTCAATGTATTTTTTGTATTTTGTATTTAATGGTAATTTATTATGTACTATTGTATTTCAATGTATTTTATCATGTTGTAAGCCGCCCCGAGGTTTCGGCAAGGGGCGGCATAGAAATGTTATAATAATAATAATAAAAAATAATAACCTGATGCTGAAAAGAGAACAATGTGCAGATTTAAAGTTCTGTTATTAACTTACAGAGCCCGAAACAACTGAAGACCAGGTAATGTAGCCCTCACGCCCCTGCTGTGGAGGAACACACCTGATGGTGCCGCAGCCTCTTGAGATGCACTTCAGGAATGTGTGCAGCACAGCATGGGCATTGGGGTTGGGCACCCGACCGCCAGAAGACTGTGCTCCCCATGGGCAATAGTGGGCAGGTGTCTTCAGTCTTCAGATACCAGCTCAAGACCCATCTGTTCATGGAGGCTTTCCTTACGGGTTGACTCAACCACTATGGCTATAATCAACCAGTGATTATTTTCATTTATTTATTAATTAATTAAAACATTTTTATGCCGCCCCATTCGCCAAAGGCTTACAACAATAAATTAGAGCCACATAAATTATTATAATATATTGGCATGTCATTAATCATGTAAATCACATTTAGAGTTTATTAGAAAGGGAAAAACATGTAACGATATATATGCACATAAAAATACAAGAAAAAAAAGAAAAGAAAAGAAGGAAATTACAGACCAAACTTATGGAAGGTCCTAAGTCATCCACACTGATGTGAGCCCTGTGTTTCAGCTAAGAACTTTTGGACCATTTGATTCAAACTAAAACAGCCAAAACCTTCAGGCTAAAGTGCATAAGTGCTTTTATTTCTTCAATTTTTCTGTGCTCTTTGACCATTCTGAATTAGTCCCCTGATTTGCCTTGATCAGGAACCAGCTGTCTTTCATGCCACTAGAAAACCCCTCAGGGTGGTTGGCCATCAGGCACATTGAGGCTCAAAATGCAATTTCTTTCTCCTTGTTTTACAAGAGTAGTAATGAATGCAAAGTGCTCCAGCTAGGGAATCATTATGAAATAAATTTTAAGCCCAGCTTCTTGCCTGAATCGTTTCTCTCTATTAAGGCATGCACAGGATTTCATAGGGAGAAACAACTGAGTAGATTAAAGGTTCATGGCACATACCCCCTCTGTTCCTTAACCACAACTTACAGATGTCCGAGATTCTCCAGAGAGCTCTACAAGGACTCAGGAAGAGGCCACTAACACAGTCACACCAAGCCTAGCAAGCTCCAAACAGAACCAGGAACATTTGCAGTTGCGAAGGACACTGCTCAAAAGAGGAGCTAAAGTCACACGCTAAGAGGGTGGCCCCTCCGGCTCTGTAAAGACCTTCTTGCTCATGAAGCGGCCCAGAAAGGGATCTCACTTTTCCTTCTCCACCTCTTTACTATTTCAGTGGAGTTCAGAGAGGCTGGGTCCCCTGAATCAAGAAACTGGTGGAAGAACAAGCAAGCAGTAAGACTCAACACTCAGATAACAAGAGATTTATTCCAACTTATGTGACATGATGAAACTTTTCTTGCCTACAAGAGGAAAGGCAGAAACACTGGTGGCTCCTATGTCAGAGGAACTTCTCATCTGTTCCAGCTTTTATTTTGAGCTGGCATAGGTGCTGTCCCTGGCACTGAACTTCATATCTAAGATAGGTTCAGTAGCATGGAGCACCATGGATAGTTCTTCTAAAACTCAGAATAAAAGCTACAGTGGATAAGGATCCTCACTGACCCAGGAGTCTCCAGCCACTCCTGTGTCAAGGGCAATGGGAAAAGATGAGTACCTGTTTTATGGGGTGCCAAGGCTCCATGTCCAGGCTCTTACGAAGTTCTCTACATGTAGTAAAAGGGAAAGTTAAAGCTGCATAGCAAAGAGTAATAAATTGTAGCTGAGAATAAAACCAGACTTTCTCTCTGTGTGCACCACTGGTTATGGACTCCAGAAGATAAGCGGCTACTGCAGAAGCAACAATACCAAAAGCCAAGGGAAGTTATACATTCTCATATTCACTCAGAGGTTGATGTATTCTTCAATTCAAGATCGAATAAAAAAAGTGAGAAGCTTCAGCTGAATTTTTGATCTAAATTACTGGCACACAGAATGTTGTTTCCTGACCATTTATATTTTCACCAACCTACTTCAGCTTACGTTTCCTAGCTAGTGCTATTGATTTTTATTTTTATACATTGCCCCATTACCATAGGCTCTGGGAGGTTTACAAGAAATTAAAACAACAGTCTAACTTTAGGCTACAAACAAGCATATTAAATAAAACCCATGTGGGAAGGTTTATTGGAAGAGACACTTCTTTAATTACTTCCAGAAGGTAACAATCTGGGATATCTGTTGCATTTCTCCTTCTATAGCGTAGGGGCAACCACTAAGAAAGACTTCTGGGTAGCAATATTCAGCTTGCAAAAGCAAACTTCAGCAGATTATCCCCAGGGGACCTCAATGGGCAAGGTGGAACATATGAGCAAAGGTGCTCCTGGAGGCATTTTGGACCTGAACCACAAACAGCTTTGGAGCTAATTGACAACATCTTGTACTGGAAATGTATTGGTGTTTATGATCAGCGATACATGGTTTCTCCATGATGTCCTAGAGACCAATCTAGCTGCCATATTTGGTACTAGTTGCAGTTTCTGGAATAGGCACAAGGGTAGCCCCATGTAAAGTGCATCGCACAAACCATGCCCAGAAGTTGCCAGCACAGGCACTACTGTTTTCAGGTCATTCACCTCCAGAAAGAGATGGAAATCAACCAAAGGTGATAACAGACACTGTTGAGCGTGGCTTCCATCTGTGCTGGTATCTGAAGGACTCGGTCAAGCAGTATACCCGAGCTGTGAACATAGTCTTTCAGGGGGAGCTAGAACTGACTGACACACTTCTACTCTTGGATTCACACCTTCAACAGCAAG